CTAAAGTAACTCAGATTCATATAAGCTTGTGTTGTGCTCGGGTGATATCGGGATAATTTAATGAATTTTAAGATAAATTTTGTCTCAAGTACAACAAGTCAACAAATCATATTTATAAGCATCGACTAGATATTTCATAATTTAGGATATTTTGAGGTAGAATAATATTAATGAAAGGTTTGGGATCGATTCTCACCCCCGTCCTTGTGGCTCTCTAAACATCAAAAAATAATTTAGGATATTTTGAGATAGAATAATATTAACGAGTATTATAGAAACATACTCCATATGTGAAAAACAATGGTGTATTATGCTATTTCCATTATCTTTGCCCGTGAATTAATGATCAACTATAATTATATTTGTAAAAAATAAAAATAAAAATTACCACCACTCCTATAAAATCAAGTGTAGATTTTGATATTCATGCAATAATGCTATCGATAAGCAAGCTCAAGTATCTTAGATTAATAAAAACATTGTTATTTTGTTAGCTTTTATAGGCATAACATGTTTTATAATGTTTAAAGTTAAAAAGAAACATGCATGATTTATGGAGTTAGAAGAAAAGTGTGTAAATTAAAGAGTTTAGTAAGAAAAAAGGTCTGTGAAAATTTCATAGTTCTGTAACTATATGGGTTGACATTAGTTTAATATGTTGTGTTAAATAGAAGAAGTTTGCTAGAAAAGGGATTAAGTTTTGGACAGTGTGTACTAAAAGTCTAAAACTTAGAAATTAGAATCATATCATATTAACATTATTAAATATTTTTCGGACTTGCTCTACTCCAAATAAAATCTAGGTGTGTTGAGGACTAGTTTCCTTAGCTTGGGGTGCTTCAGATCATGTATTAGCTCCCTAAACTAGTTTCAAACCTTTCACAAAAAGTCAAAAAATTGAATCTGATTCTTCTTGCTCCATATCAAAATTGATTTCAATAAAAAAAAAAAAAAAAAAAAATCTAACTCTCACTTAAGATTATTTAGAGATTAATTTGATTCTTTTAATTATTCTACTCTTGGTTTAAATAATCAAGTAATAATTTATACCATACTTAGGATAAGAGTGAAAATTTGCGCTGTGCAGCAGTCTTGCAAACACGAGTATAAACTTCAAAGAGAATTTTTTTGACAAAAAAAAAAAAAAAAAAAAAAAAAAAAAAAAAAAAAAAAAAACTACGTACTATAAACGGCAAGCTAACATGCCACCTAGGATTGCAAAGTTATTCTTCCTTCTAGCTAATTTATGCCACAATGATTAAACTAATTAGCATTTAGATTTTTCAGCTTTATTTTTTTAATAATTAGTCTTTTATTAGAGACAATTAATTTTTAAGCTTATTAGCTTAGCTAAGCTAATTTGCTTGGCATAGGCCAAGCTAAGCTAATTTGCTTGGCATAGGCCAAGCTAATTATTAAACTACTCTCCAGTGGTTTGGCTATTAGCTTGAAAAATTATTAAAATTGCAAGCTAGTCCCTAAAAACAACCATTGGAGTTGCTCTAACAAATAATACTAAACTCGTATTAATGAAATACGATACGTAGTATGATGATATTATGATAATGTATTGATGTTAGTCATGTTACACATTCAACCCATAAAATACAACAATAATCTACTCTGTATTATTTTGCACTTTTTTAGTGGCATACAAAGAATATATAACCATTTAATCATAATTATCTCAACACACAATTAATAAGAGTCTTCAACACTAATCAACTACAATCACAAATTAATAATCCTTGAAAGTACAACCTTATTGATTAATGATCTTACAATACTCAAATCAAGGACTCCCAAAACCATTAAATTAAAATACAAATCAATATTGCTTGTTTTGTCCTATGCTTTATAAGCTCATTTCCAAAATCACTACACAACTACATTCCCAGTGTAGTACGAGTAATGATTAGTGAAGTTGCAGCAAATTGTCATGATATTTACTTCATTCTACTCCGTAATATAGTTGACAAAATATTACTTGTACTGTTCTTTTTTATTTGACCTTTTTTTTTATCATATTTGTCAAAACTTTAACTATCAATAACTTTAATTCTCCATAAATAAAAATTATATATTAGGATAGTATTTATTGAGACGAATTCAAAAGATCCAACATAAATATGTTTTCCTTACATATTATTCTCAAAAGACGATAAAAGGAGAGGTGATAAATAGTGTAAGAGTCAAAGCGAGTTAACTAAAACAAGAATAATAGAGGAAGTACTTAATGAATTAGTTTTACTTAATTTAAGGATTATTGTAAATTGTAGAGGATACAATGTGTGTCAATCATTTGGTATCTATTATAGAAGAGATTGGCATCACTTTGTAGTCAGTAATATTGACTTGTTGTGTTGAGAAGTAAGATTTGTCCGATGTAATATCTACTTGTCTAGGACCTTGACTGTATGTCTGTATGACTCCTAAATAGTTGACTTGGAATAACTGCTTGTCTGCTTCGTTTACCTGGAATCCCCCATATGAAGACATAAAGTTTGGTGTACTGGTACTCCGTATGTTTTGTGATGTCTAGTAAAAAAATTACTTGTTATACTCTATAAAAAATGATTTGTAATCGCAATTTTATGATGTTGAAAGCTTAGCAGCTATATTCTTATCCTCATTGGATGTAACTTGAGCCACTTGACTTCTTGCCCATGTATAGGTGCAAGTGTGCAACGGTACAACCATATTCACGTAACTTTGCAGAAGAATGGCGTAATAGAGTTGAGTGACTTGCTATATGTAGAGGCGTCAAAATCTGATTCGACTCAGAAAAACGTGATTAGATTTCGATTCACAGACACCCAAATGATCCTAATCCGGCCTAATCTTATCAAACTTGACATAGACATCCAAATTAACACCTCTATAATGTTAAGTGAAGTCAATTTCCTCGATCATGACTCGTGATAAGTCAATTTACTTTTTTATCTACCCTTTTCCTGACTATAGAATGGAAGATACCTCCTTCAGTTTTGTTATAATTTTATAAATATTTCGGAAATAGTTGTCTTATTTTCTACTAATACACTTCGTAGGACGATAATTATAGAGACGCATCCTATGAAGCAAATAAATTTTACTCCATAGGAAAATATGCATGAAAACACTCAAGAGGAAAGATATATGGGCAAAAGCGAAACGGAAATATCTTGTAGAGTTAAAGGTCTATCAAGTCATGACCAATGTTTAATCATATTTAATTTTTTCAGTGCGGCATATAGGATAATAAATTTTAGTGGTAGTCAATTAAATACGAGATTATTAATTTCTTTTAGAATAAAATAATTTAAATGACACGTAAGGAAAATTGGTGAATGAGATTTCCCAATTTAAATTAATTAAATATAAAATATTATCTTTTGATATTAGGAGTTTTATCTAAATATTAGTTATAAGTCAAATGTCACATAAGCAAAATTAACGAATGAGATTTAAAGCTTAAATTAATTAAATACAAATATTATCTTTTGAGATTAGGAGTTTTATCAAATATTTTAAAACTAATATAATAACAATTTTAATAATCACATAAATATGAAAAATACTTTGTAAAAAAAATACTAACAAACCGTGCACTACACGGGCTTCATCTAGTGTTAACTACTAGGTAGTTATAAGCTTCTTTATATCAATTTGGTAAAACAAAAGTTTCCCAAAACGACCAATTTCAACAAAATATTTATTTAGGAACATTATGAGATTTTTTTTTTGACAAAGAGGGAACATTATGACTTGTGCAAAGATAATCTACAAAATCAAGATTAATATTACTCCGTATTTAGGGATGTCAGTGGGAGACCCGCCCCATCCCCGCCCCAATGAGGCGGGGATGGGTCTCGGTTTGGTGGGTGGTGGGGCGGGGATGGGGATAAAAACCATACCCGCCATGGGTGATGGGGCGGGGGTGGATTTTAAGTTGTACCCGCCCCATCCTCGCCCCGCCCCACTTCGTACCCGCCCCATCCCCACCTCATACTCACATCTATATATCTTTTAAAGCAAAATTACATACTTTTATTCTATTTATAAAATAATTACATGAAATACAATATTAATTTAATACTTTGTACGACACTTATATTATAACACAAAAATGTGTATAAAATGTTTTATTTTATAATTCGTATTAATTATGTAAGATTGAGTATTTGAGATACGGATATTAGGTGGATCTTGGGTGGGGATTAGGCGGGTCTTTGGTGGGGATGGATATCCAAGTGGGGGTTGGGGCGGGGATGGTTTTGGAGTTGTACCCGGTGGGGCAGGGATGGAGATGAAAATTGGACCCGCCGCGGGGATGGGATGAAAATATTAGGTGGGGATGGGAAGGCCAACATCCGCCCCGCCCCATTGAGATCCCTATCCGTATTATTACTATGAAACAACCCGGGGCAACGCCTGATAGTAGCAACTCGGGGCAACGACATGGCTACTCACTAGTTATACACCCTCCATTTTTAAATACTTGCTCCACTTTTTATTTTCGACCGTTTTTAAATACTTGCTCTAATTCCTTATTTGAAAAACTTTTACAATATTAAATTCATTTCTCTAATATGATGGGACCTAATAGAATTACATTTTATTTCCTTTTACATTCACTCTCCTTCAATTTACTGTCGAGAGTGTCCACTAACTCCACCATCTCTAAATTTTTTTACTTTCTCCAATTTCGTCTAAAACTCCGCGCATAAAAAATGGAGTAAATATTATAAAAAAAACAAAAAAAAAAAACGGAAGGAGTATCTATTAAAAAGGGTCAAAAATAAAGATAAAGATTTTAAAGAGTATTATATGTGACTAATGCGAGGCAATACTTATGTCTACAAGACTACAAGTCATAATTTTGATAAAGAGAATATTCTAAGTTTAGATTGAGTGATGCTTGGGATTCAGATATTAATCATTATCGATTCTTTAAAGCTAACAATATTATCACCTTATTAAGCGTATTATTATATTATCCAAAAAAATAATTAAAAAATATACTGCATTATTATCACCTTATTAAGCTTATTTTATTGTCCAAAAAAAAAAAAAAATTAAAAATTCTGAATTTATTTTTGAATAGTGATCGTATTATATTTCAACTTGAATTTCTCAATTCTCTATAAATGCCTTACAAACTTGAATAAGAGAGAGAAACAAAAGAGATAAGGGGCAATTATATCATGACTAAGCTCTGTAAGTAACATTTTAATTACCCAAATCTTTTAATTGATTTTATTTTGTTGATTTTCATGATTTATACGCATCAATCTTTAATTATATTTGGTGGGTTTTAGTTAATTATTGAATGTAATTGATAATCTTGTTTCCGAAGTTGTTGGATTTTAATTTGAATAAATATGGTGGGTATGAATTTCGTTTGTTATTCTTCCTAATTTAATTTGTTTCGTGATACAATTACAATTCAGACTGAGCAAAGTTATAATTTTGGCGACAATTCATTTTTTTTTAATGTGATATATGTCAAATTGTGTGAAATTCACATAAATTGAGTTGTAATATTTGCAGAAAGTTTTTCTGAACTTTGTATAATGATTTTGATCAGTTTGTTATCTAATGCCGAAATCTGAAATTGTTCATGTTCTTGATACTAAAAATATACCACCAAGATCAATGAAAGCATAAAAACAAAAACTGTTTGATTTTCCTGATATATTATTTTTATGGTAATGATATATGTAGCCCTAACCCTTAGGGCTATGTATAGACATTAAATATACTTTGCAAAATGGAATTAGGTTGGGAATTCATGACAAAATTACACACAAATCGGTATAATTAATGTTAATCTTTGTTTGATATTTCCTTTTTGAGCTTCTTATACATAGCCATAAGGGTTATGTTTATCATTTTCCTATTTTTTTATCATACAAAAGATATGATTTTTATGAATTTTGTGAGGTGGCTAACGAATTCATGTTATTATTGGCTGATCAAAGATACTTAATGCATATGTTTATTATATGCAGGTGTTGTCCCTTTTACTCTTTTGCTGCTCTTTGTAAGCTGTAGTGCTCGGCCTATATATCAGCTTCCAAGCAAAGAACATAAAGGTAGCAAGCAGCCCTTGCAAACTTCACGTCCGTATAACGTTGCACATCGAGGTTCTAATGGAGAATTTCCTGAAGAAACTTCTGCTGCATATCTGGTGTGTTTCAATTTATATTCAACGAGAATTTCATGTGTTTTTTGCTGATGTAGACTAGCTTAAATTCTAATGTGCTTTCAGTTTCACAGTATGCTGTTGCGTGCCTGGATTGTTTTGTTGAATTACTTTGTTAACAGTATGATCTTGCATCTTAATCGATTTGTTATCGTGTCAGAGAAGATTACAACAGCAAGTAAATGAAACAACTGTTGTCTGTTGTATAGCAACAGCATCTGTTTGTGTGTAGTTTGAGTACATATTTTGCTATGTGCTGTTATTGCAAACTTGAATTGTGGTCTAATTTATTTGCTGTGATATGACATGATAATATAACTTTTTTTATTTATTTAATTTCATGTTATTCTGATCCAAGGTAATCTTGTATGAATTCGAAGTGTTGTTAGGTTTAAGTTCTCATGACATAGATTATGGCGTGTGAATGTTAAGTTTACCATGTAATAAGAAAAAAGTGGGAATTAAAGGCTATTGTCCTTGGCAGAGAGCTATAGAAGAAGGTGCAGATTTCATAGAAACAGACATCATAGCCACAAAGGATGGTGTGCTAATATGTCATCACGATGTTAATCTTGATGTGACTACCGATATTGCTGACCACAAGGAGTTTGCTGATCGCAAAAGAACATATGAGGTTGAAGGAGGCAACATCACTGGATTCTTCACCGGTATGATGTCCTTACCGGATTGGAGTCTTCAACCCATCTTAAATTTCTTCTCTTTTATCTGTTGAAAATTGATGTCAACTTGCTTGTGATTAATTGTCTTCCTAAAATAATATTTTTCCATGTTTAGTTGATTTCACATGGAAGGAACTACAAACTTTGAGAACTAAGCAAAGATATTCGTTCAGAGATCAGCAATATAATGGTAAGTATGATTCCTGGATTAGAGCGGTAATGAAAGCAAATGGTTTGTAAATTAAGAAGTTTTTTCATTGTATGCCTTTGTATTACAGGAAAATTCCCTATCATTACTTTTGAAGAGTACATATCTATTGCTCTTGATGCTCCTAGAGTTGTTGGGATATATCCAGAGATGAAAAGCCCCGTGTTTATCAATGAGCATGTAAGTAAATTTACTTGTATTGACTCTGCATTTTCTACTGCCACAAATGTGTTTCCAACATGTTGACATGCCTAGCAGTCACCAATACTAGAACTTTACTTATAATGGATGAACCGGAAAAACTTACCAGCCAAGTCAGGCACCTTTCAGTATGTCAACTGGCCAAGCTAAAATATCTAATATCAAATGAATCAGCCAAGCATTTTCGGTCAAAATAGATCTACAATATCTGTGGGGGTCTCTTCTTATTTCAGATCCATCTTTGAAGTGGTTCACATGGTGGTATATGTAGTTATGATTCTTATGAAAACAACAGTTATATTTCTGAGTGTAAAGACTTTTAGTTGTAATCCATATGCATGTACAGCATCTAAGTACACTTCAACTTAGTGCTAGGATGCTGTTTATTGGGTTGATGTTTGAAAGGTTCTTTTAATGCCACTTATGTGATTAAGGCTTTGATTGATTGATTGATTTGTTCATGTGTTGCTCGGATCTTCATTTCGCCTCAAGCACTCAAATCATATAAGTTAGCTGAGCCTGACACAAGCACATAGTTCTGTTTCGCTATCTCTCTGCTTTCATGGGTTTAATAAAATATCGCATATGACAATATACAGTTAAACCAAACAAATGTTGCAAGACTATACTATATTCCTATTGGTCTTTGGCATGCACTAAGAAATATTGATCGTCAAGATTGCTTGTAATGTTTTTGCTCATACAATAAAGAGTAATCCGTCTTCTTGTGTAATTTTGGTCTGCAGGTGAAGTGGCCTAATGGCAAGATTTTTGAGGATGTGTTTGTGGAGACCCTGAAGAAGTATGGTTACAAAGGTTCATATTTGTCAAAAGATTGGCTAAAACAGCCTTGTTTTATCCAATCATTTGCTCCAAGTTCGATTGTGCATGTATCGAATCAAACAGATCTGCCCAAAATCTTCTTGATCGATGATGTAACTGTGTTAACTCAAGATACCAACCAGGTTCTCTGCTACTGTCTTATTTCCAGATAACACCATTAGTAATCTTCCATCATTCACCATTTCTTGTATTGGTTCTAATATGGAGAATTTGTGCAGACTTATTCGGAAATCACTTCAGATGCTTATTTGGACTACATCAAATCATATGTTGTTGGTATTGGACCTTGGAAAGATACATTGGTTCCAGTGGTAAATAATTATATCCAAGCACCTTCGGATTTAGTTGCCAGAGCACACGCTCGTGACTTGCAGGTATGTATACCAAAGATATGTTGAATCGATTATTGTTTGATTATAGATCGATTAGTCTTTTAGATTAGACTGTAAACTGACTGTGACTAGTTTTAAGTTGAGTTGAATTGTTGGAAACATTAGCCTCACAATGAAACTGTATATCTAATTCCCCTCACAACGAAACTTCAAAAAACGGATAAGTACAAAGCATGAGTATTAAATTTACTAGTCGCTATAGTATTAAGTTAGGAATTGTATTCTCCTTTGTGAAATAGTGAGTTTTTGTTCTTTGGAAGATTAATACACATTTTGTTTTAGAATTTGCCCGTTACTTATCACTTTGATTTGAAGGGATATTAATGAGTTGTTCACGTGAATACAGGTACATCCTTACACCTACAGGAACGAGAACCAATTTCTGCACTTCGAATTCCATCAAGATCCATACATCGAATATGATTTCTGGATAAACAAGATAGGAGTCGATGGCCTATTCACCGACTTCACTGGCAGCCTTCACAACTTCCAGGAATGGACCTCTCCTCTCTCCATTAGTGATAATATTGATGGCTACTCCGCGTACTTGTTGCATAAGATTGCCAATATGTTGCAAAAGTATAAATGATTTTATTCACCATCCATTCTTTTGATGTCGACTAGTATACAATTAGGAAGAGAGTTGTAACAGTTTCATGATGTTAAATTCTTCCACTATTGAGTTTTCATCAAAAAAAGTTGTGTTGTGTTTGCAAAAATTTAGTACTCCGTATATGATTTTTGATTAAATAAATAAATAATAAAAGGGCTCCATACTTTGATACATTTGCTCAAATAGTCAAATTTCCTTCTATCTTCAAAGGATACCCTAAGTATTAAATAAGTTAATGTATACGCAACAGTTGGTTGTGTACACACACAAACACGCATGCACAGAGGAGTATATAAGACAGAAAATCTGAACGAATTGTGCTAGCAACAGAATGAATATGTGTACATGATATTATTACTTTATTAGCGAGCGATCACAAGGCAAGTTGTGAAAATTAACAAGGTAAACCTAACCAAAATTTCAAAGAACAAACAAAAAGAAAATGATATCAAGTGGTGTTTCTTCATTTATAACAAGAGAGCAATCCTAGTGTATGATGCATATATGGTCACCATTCATAACACTCCGAGTTAAGAAATCAGAAAAAACCCAAAATAATACCCCTTTTTGTCTAAACGATTGAGAAATTTACTGAAAATTTCACTCAAGTTGTACTTCTCTCTTTGGTGGATCTAGCTCCAAGTAGTAGAAAGGTTCTGTTGGCTCCTCCCTGCATTAAAATTAAGCGTCATGAGAACAGCTCAATTTACTTGAAATCTTTGTGATAGAAACAAGGTAATCTCTAGAAGAACGCGGTGGAATTATCTACTAACGGAAGTAAACAAGAGAAAACTTACCCAGGTTTTGAGCGCATGCATCGGTAGAAAAGCTTGAAAGGACCTGGAACAGTCTTGAATGGGTTTCCTTCGAAACAAGCCTACAACAATCAAAGAATGGTGTTAAACAGTGCCAGGGCAAAAATTTATACTTCGTATTGCTCATATTGAACTTCCCAACATGAAACATAATCTCTTTAGGCATCATGAGGATCATAAGATCTCCAGACTCCAGTATCCAGAGCTCCTCGATTTGATATCCACTGAAAAACTGTCAAAGTCTGTCATTCTAACAATTTCCCTTCACTTAAATCTACCAAGGAGTAGTACATAGAAGTTATCACTTGAGCAGTCAAGGGTTATACATAGCCAAGGCCCAAGGGAGGTAGTTCTATCATGGGAGAGTAAGCAGACACCCTCAACCTCAACAGTCTACCAAATCATCATTTTATCAGATAAAATATCTTTAAGACAATGCTATTGAATTCATTTCCAAATGCACGTCAATAGTAAATGCTTCAATATATGATTTCGCAAAGACTTAGCATTTAAAATGAAGCTCTTAAACATATATACTCCGTATGTTCATTCATCAAGAATAAGAAAATTTAAGAAACCAGGCAAGTGCTACCAAAATCTAGTTAGGTAACTTAGGTTGAAAGCATGAAGAATCGAAGATAACTCAAGACAGCCCAGTTTTGACAAATGAGTGCCACTTATGGCACTTACAATCCAAATCCAACGCAATGCAACCAGGTTTAACTTATATTACAGCTTTGCAAATTAGGGTCGCCAAATCTAAAATAGGCTTACAGTGACATTTGCACTGGGTACAAAAAGCTCCTATTATAAAAAATATATAAAAAAGGTTTATCCAATATGAAACCAATGTATACTTCAGTAATTTCAGATTAATTTTCAAGCACAACAATTTTAAACCTCATTGATTTTTAGTCTTTGGATGCAGCTTGCTGAAAAGACACTATGAAACTCAACTCCTAAATCTGAAGAAAAAAAAAAATAAAACAAATAAAAATATATATATATATATATATATATATATATATATATATATATATATATATATATATATATATATATATATCCAGTGTAATCTGGAAAAATTATTGAGCACATTCACATTGCTACTCAGTACCTTACATTTCCATGATCATACCTTCAAATATTACCGATTTCCAGTTCCTTCCACTCTTTAAACCTCTCTATAGCAACACCCATAACTAGCAACTTCCCATTTATCATTTATCATTCATCACCACTTACCTCAAAGTAAGAAAACAGCACATTGTTTTCGAGGGGATACTTAGTAGCTATGTAGCCAAGAGAATTAGACCAAAAACACTTGTGGAGAGGTATATGGAGCTAAACCCACATAATTTTCAAGATTAGTAGGAAAATTGAAGAGATATAAAGTTTTGATTTAACTAAAACTCAAAATTTCTTCAGCATTTGATCAAGAAACTAGACAACAGTCAAATTAACTATATTAATTTACTAACAATAGCATAAAAAACCCAGAATCATTCTGAAATCTACACCAAATTGAATAAATTATCAAAGAAGAGAACCCTAATCTCCCATTCCACCTACAATTATAGTTGGAATCCAAGTCCCAAGAATGTAGCATAATGAATTGCAGAAATGGGTCCATGAAAAAGGGGTAGTTTGCAAAAAAGAGAGCAAGATTAGGGTTTAAGGAAAAAGGGGGAAGAGAAGAAGGAAAGAGAAAGACCTGAATAACATCTTCGACTCGGTCGTTGCAGCGGTGGGGCTTCGGTTGCCGGTGATCGCCCCCTGAAATGCCCCAAGGACTCTCCCGCCGGCGCACCGGCGACGGTGATGATGACGGCGCCGGTGATTCACTTGTACTCATCGCAGTTCTTAGAGACTTTGCTTCAAATAGGGATGGCTTTCATATTCCTGGAAGAAGGTTATATTTGGTGGTGATTTTAAGTAGCTGGAAATTATTCACTTCACATTATTTTTGCTAATTTGAAATTATTTTTAGTGAACTTGAATGCTGAACGGAAATTATTTTTAGTGAATCTCTATTGGAAAAATATAATTTAATAGTTCCACCTTTAGTCGGTCTTCCATAAACAATCCCACCTTTTAAAATTCCACAAACAATCCCACCTTTTAAAATTGCACAAACAATCCCACCTTTGACCCTCATCTTCCACAAACGATCCTAGTGACCTACAACCTGTTAAACAGTTTTTTTTTTTCTTTCTTTTTTAACTACTTTTATTCTCAAGCAACCAGTCCAACCACCATGGCCACCCCAACACTCACTCCTTACCGCCACCCCCACCTACCAAGCCACCACAAAACCCTCCAACCATGCGGAAAATCCTATAACCACCCCCAAAACCCAACCCCAGCCTCAAAAACTCAACCCACAGCCCCGAAAAACCCCACCCCAGCCCTGAAACTCAATTTGTCGGTCGTAAATTATGATTTCAATCAACTGGAAAATTGAATTGAAAGGGAATTGATGATTTAGAGGAGAGAAACATACCAAAGAGAAGAGAGAAAGAGCAGGAGAAGGAGAAAGAGGGGGTTGCGGCAGTGGTTGCGGCCATTGCGGGTGCTGACATTCGCGGCAGTGATGTTTGGGTTGGGTTGGGTTGGCGGGGAAAGCAAGGGCGGGCCGGGGATGGGAGGGGATGCGGTGGCGGGGATGTGAGGGGGTGCGGTGGCTGGGGATGGGGGTTTTGGTTTTTTTTTTTAAATAAATAAATATATAAATAAATAAACCTATTAAAATATGACACGTGTCTTATAACCTAAGAAGGTCGGTGATCAAAACAATCCAAATGGTTAGGGATCGTTAGTGGAAGTTTGAGGTTAAAGGTGGGATTGTTTATGGAATACCGACTAAAGGTGGGATTATTAGATTACATTTTCCATCTCTATTATATTTCTTCTTTAAATAATGAATTCTACTGAACTGAAATTATTTTTGCCGAACTAAAACTATTTTAACTAAATATTTTTTTTAGTTAACAGGGCCTAAATACGGATTTTAATTTGAAACTAATGCAATAACTTAAACATCGTCCAGATCTAAAAACTAATTTGCATTGAAAACAAGTTGGTACAAAGGAGTATTTATGTAAATAAGAAAAGTTACAATAAGGCCCCATTCACTTTATCTTATTTTTGCTGAAATGAAATTAATTTTACTGAATTGAAATTATTTTTGTTGAATTTAAATTATTTTTACTGACCATTAGTGAGAGAAATGGAGATCGGCATCTCAGTAGTAGGGAAATTCTTATCGTTAATGGAAAAATAATGGGGGAGAGAAAGATATAAAAAGCGCCTAGAGAAACAACTCTTGGTTGAAACTTGTTATGTCACTCTAAACTACAGTTGTCACTCCTTAAAATGCTCCATCCAAGAGTTATCCGATTCTTTAGATTAGATAACTTATGACTTATTTTAGGGTTTGTTCTGATTTATTGAATTGAACTGATTGGAGCTGAATTGGAATGAAATGAATATTTTATAAAAGAAGAAAATTAGGAACTAAACTGAGTTAAACTGAACTAAACTGAAGAGAACAAACCCCTATATTCGAGTCTATGGGTCGGATCTGGGTCAGAACTTTTCAAACCCAAAACTAGACCCGACCCATTGCACTTAGACCCAAATTCGACCTAGATCCATCGCTCGAGTCTAAAATTTTAGGACCATGCTCTAAAATATGAGTCGAGTGACACAGATTTAAGCGAGTTTGGGTTGGATCCTAGATCCATTGCCATCCCTAGTTGATACTTTGATTGTACAAAATCATACTCTCTCCGTCCTCCATTGATAGTCACTTTTGCCATTTTTGGTGACTCAAAATGTTAGTCACATTTGTTTTTTTCAAGTACCATTAATATTATTTTTTTACCAAAATTCTCTAACATTTGCAAAAATATTTGTGCAAATTTAACTTTTCCATGTATATTTTACTTTCTCATATACTTTAATTACTTTCTCTCTCTACTTTTTTGCATACCAAATGTAAATTTACTTTTCAATGTACTTTCTTTAATTGTCCTTAATTCCCGTTATTTTTCTTCAAAAGTGACTATTTAGGGATGGAGGGAGTATCAAAAATCACTTATTTTATAATTTAATTTATGATTTTGCTATTTGATTAAAAAGAACGACCAGTCTCCAAATTTAAACTTAAATTGGAGTGACAAAAAGTAAAGTCCCTCGACTAGGGTTCTTCTTTGTCCTTGGCCTAGGGTTGTGCGTATTTTTGTTTGTTCGTCGGTGAATAATTTCCAATAATTCCTTAATCCTGATTACTGTATTTGTCTCCTCCTCTTTCATCATGGCGTCTGAGTTAATTAAAGAGTGGGAAAAGTTTCGATTGACTGAAGATGAGACTGTGGTGGTGGGAAATAACGAAGAAGAGTGCGACATTGGTGATTCGGCAGAATAGGTTAGATTGACTCTGGTAGGAAAACTTTTGACTGTGAAACCCTTTAATATTGAGGCTATGAAAAAAACATTGACAAGTTTGTGGCGTTTGCATGATAATATTGCTATTCGATCTGTGGAGACAAACCTGTTCGTGTTTCAGTTTTTCAGTGCAACTGACAAAGAGCATATTCTTAAGGGTATGCCATGGTTCTTCGATGGTAAACTGTTACTTCTCAAAGAAATCCATGGGGGTGAACAACCTTCTGAAATTGTGTTTGATAAGACTCCTATGTGGGTAAGGCTATTAGACGTTCCCGTTTAATAGGCGAAGAGCTTCTGTCATGTATGATATAGGGGAGGCGCTTGGTGGTTTTGTGGAGCTCGATGAATCTGATCCTTTGGGTTGGAGTGAGTATATGCGTATGAAAATAATGGTGAATATTCATAAACCTCTTTAAAGGGGTATCTTTTTGGCAGCTGGAGCAGGGGGGTCAAAATGGATTGATTGAAATATGAAAGATTAGGTGATTTTTGCTTCTTTTGTGGTATGCTTGATCACACTGATAAAGATTGTATGCAGAAAGAAAGTGACGGTGATGTTAATGGGGAGCTTGTGTACCGATATGGGACATGGATGCGTGCTTCTCCTATGAAGGTGTCTCAAAAACCCTTTTTAACAAGGGAGAAAGAACGACTCTGGAGTGATAAGCTAAATGCTTTAAGAAGTGGGTGTAGTTCAGACCATGGGAGAAAGGATGCAATAAGGCTTGGACCTATTGGTGCTGCAAAAAAAATAATTTTTTCATCTCCATCAACAAATGTTATTAATTGTTCTCCGAAGGCTAGGGAAACGGTGCTTACTCCTATAACGGATCCGTCAAGTAATAAACAAGTTTTGCGACCAAAACAAATTACTTGCTCAAGTAGAGAGGAGCTTACAGAGAAGAGGGGGGATAAAATAGGAGTGGGGAATGGAGAAGTAACTGGGATAGTAGTGGGTGCTGAGGGGGATGGGGTAAGCAAGGATGTGGGGTTGGGGGATATATTGCCTATAGGAGGCGTTGGAAATGGAGGGATTGAGGGTGATGTCAATATGGAGGAAGTGGAGGATACGGCTAAGGGGATACATGCTAGTGAAGGTGCTGATTTTTTCATATTGGGGTAGGATCAAATGTGAGGGGGGACCTTCTTTCTCACAAAATAAAATTGTCTCATAAAGTGGGGAAAAGTAGTATGAAAAAAGAGGAATAGTGAGGATGTTGTGCAGAAAGGTGAGGGAAATAATAATGGGACAATTGTGACACAAAAAAGAAGTAGTATGGAGATGAACAACATCGATGATGAGGGTAGGAGGAAGTTAAGAAAAACTGTTGTCTCACAAATTGCCGGTGACGGGGTAAATCAAGTAGAGGGTGATGGTGGGAACTATACCCTCGAAGAGCAATGAAAATTTTAAGTTGGAACTGTCAAGGGCTTGGCAACCCTTGGACAGTCAAATCTCTCTGTGACTGATGTTGGAGAGAGAGGCCAAATATTGTCTTTCTCATGGAGACAAAAATTGATAGTAGTATCCTTAAACGTATTCAAAGTAAATGTGGCTTTACTGAAGGTATGTGCTTGAGTAGTAGTGGTAATTCTGGTGGGATTGGGTTTTGGTGGAGGGATGTATCGATTGCGACAGTTTCTTATTCGATTCACCACTTTGCTGCTGATATTCTTGATCACAACAATGTCCCTGTGTGGAGAGCGGTAGGTATTTATGGGTGGACGGAGACGGGTAATAAGCACAAAACTTGGGAGCTTATGGGTAACATTAAAGCGAGGTGTTCTATTCCGTGTACTATGTTTGGTGATTTTAACGAGATTTTGTGCCAGAATGAAAAAGAGAGAGGGGTGCCAAAGAGAGAAAGAGATCTAGATGATTTCCGTGAAGCTGTGGATGGTTGTGGCCTTAAGGACTTGGGGTATAAGGGTAGTTCTTTTACATGATAGAGGGGAAGCTCGGTGGATACTTTTATTCGCGAGAGATTAGATAGATGTTTTGCTGATGATGGATGGTGTGAAAGATTCCCAAATCATACAGTTCGTCACCTCCCTATTTATTCTTCGGACCATGCTCCAATTGTGATCGAGGCTCATCGAAAATTTGATAGGGGCAGGAAAGATAGAGTATTTCGTTTTGAAGCACTATGGCTTTCAAATGAACAATGTGGTGAAGTGGTTAAAAACGCGTGGGAGGACAATGTAGGGGCTGAAACCCATGTTCGTATTGCATGTTGTGCTACAGAGCTGACCAGATGGGCTAAAACTACTTTTGCAGCAGTAAAAAAGAAGATAAGAGAGTCTGAAAAGGCTCTTCGTGAGGCGCAGAATGAAAGGGTTAGTCCAAACATGCTCCAAAAATGCAGGAATATTTCCGATAATTTAAATGAGCTGCATAAAATGGAGGAGTCCTATTGGTTTGCTCGGTCTCGGGCAAATGATATGAGATACGGGGATAAAAATACCACTTATTTTCACCGCAAAGCAAGTATGAGAAGGAAGAAGAATAGTATTGTAGGATTGTATGATAAACATGATGTTTGGAATGATGACCAACGTGAGGTTGAAAAAATTGTTGAGAACTATTTTGGGAGTTGTTCAAGTCAGAGGAACCAAGGGACTTCGAAGCTGCTTTAGAGGGCTTGCACCCGATTATTTCTGATGAGATGAATGTTGTGTTGGATAAGGCTCCATGCAATGATGAAATAAAGGAGGCTTTGTTTCAAATGCACCCGAACAAGGCCCCGGGCCCGGATGGTATGCACGCCTTATTTTTTCAAAAAATTTGGCATATTGTCGGGAAGGATATCATATGCTTTGTGAAAAATTGGTGGGATGGTCGAATAAATCTGTCGAATGTAAATAAAACTTGTGTAGTATTGATACCGAAAATTGATGACCCGAAAAGGATTACAGAGTTTCGACCGATTAGTTGCTGTAATGTGGTCTACAAAAATTATATCCAAAATGATGGCTAACAAAATGAAGCTATTTTTGGATAAAATAATTACTGTAAACCAGAGTGCTTTTATTCCGGGGCGTCTTATTTCGGATAATGCCTTAGTGGCATTTGAGATTTTTCATTCGATGAAGAGGAAAGGTGAAGGTAGGGATGGTTCGGTGGCTTTAAAACTTGACATGAGCAAGGCTTATGATAGAGTAGAGTGGGTTTTCTTGGAGAGGGTAATGTATCGGATGGGGTTTAGTGCAAATTGGGTGCGAAGAATTATGGATTGTCTGGCTACCTTTTCATTTCCTTTTAAAGTTAATGGAACCATCTCCGGTAATGTAAGCCCAACGAGAGGGCTAAGGCAAGGTGACCCTATTTCTCCCTACTTGTTTTTGCTATGTGCCGACGTTTTCTCATCTTTATTAGCAAAAGCGGCTTCGGAGAATAAAATTCATGGTGCAAAAATTTGTAATGGTGCGCCTAGAGTCTCTCACTTATTTTTTGTTGATGATAGCTTATTGTTTGCTAGAGCTACTCTGCAGGAATGCTCTGTAATTGCTGATATTATCAGGAAATATGAAAGAGCGCCTGGTCAAAAAGTCAATCTTAGTAAGACAGAGGTGGTGTTTAGCAAATGTGTGGATACTAATCGCAGAATGGAGATTGTGAATACTCTAGGGGTACGACAGGTGGATAAACATGAAAAATGCTTAGGCCTTCCAACAATTATTGGGAAGTCTAAGAAGGTCATTTTTGCAATATTGAAAGAAAGAATATGGAAGAAGCTCAATGCTTGGAAAGAAAAATTGTTGTCGAAGCCCGGAAATGAAGTACTTATCAAAGCGGTGGCTCAAGCGATTCCTACATATATGATGAGTATTTTTAAGATTCCCGATGGTCTAATTGATGAAATTCACGCATTATTATGTCAGTTTTGGTGGGGGTCAAATCCAAATGAGCGTAAACTTCATTGGCACAGTTGGGAGAAGATGTGTTTACCCAAGTCAAAAGGGGGCCAAGGGGGCCTTGGTTTTAGAGATCTAAAATGCTTTAATCAGGCCTTGCTCGCTACGCATGTATGGAGATTATACAATGGTGGGGATACTTTGCTGCATAGGGTACTAAAAGCTCGATACTTTAAGCACTCGTCTGTTTTAGAGGCTAGGCGTGGGTATGATCCAAGCTACTCTTGGTGATCTATTTGGGGCACAAAGTGTCTGCTGTTAGAGGGTCTGGTATGGCGGGTTGGTAATGGCTCTAGCATCTCTGTATGGACTGAACCGTGGCTGCTTAACGAAGGGAAAATTATAAGGCCATCTCCTCTTTTAGCTCATGATTTAGAGACTAGAGTTTCTGATTTGATTGATTTTGACAGTGGGGAATGGAAGACTGATATGGTCCGGAGTATGTTTGGGACTGATGAAGCTCAATGTGTTTTAAATATTCCTCTATCTCGTCGGTGGCCAAATGACAAATTATTTTGGAGCTTGACAAAGGATGGGGAGTATACTGTGAAATCCGGCTATTGGTTTGCAAAAATGGGCTCACAAGACTCGAATCAAGGGAATGGCTTGATTGAGATGTGGAAGAGAATTTGGAAGCTACAGGGACCCCCAAAGCTTCAGATGTTCATATGGAGGGCTTGCAAGGGTAGTTTGGCAGTAAAAGAAAGGCTCTATCAAAGACACATTGTTCATGGTTTGACTTGCCCCATATGTGGTGCTGGGAATGAAACCATAATCCATGCCCTGTTCGAATTCCAGGCTGCTGCTAGCATTTGGCAACATTATCCTCTTATGAACTTGATTACAGCATGGTCTTGTAGGAACAAAATTTGCTTTGATAATGCAAGACTCGACCCTCCCTCCTTAGCAGCAGGTTATGTGAGAATGGTGAACGAGTATCTACCCTATGCAAGGAAGATATTTCTAAAGACTCCAAATTACTCTGCTGCTGTGGCTGATATGGCTTGGGTGCGACCTCCTGAAGGCGTAATTAAGGTAAATATTGATGCCCATTATGCTGATTGCGGGAATGTGGGGTTGGGTGCAGTGCTTAGGGACACCAATGGGAAACTAAGGGTCTGTGCTGTGAAGAAAACGATGGCTGCATCCCCTAAAATGGCAGAGGCTATGGCAGCAAGGTATGGTATGCACATAGCGCGACGTTTCGGATATACAAGAATAATGCTTGAATGTGATGCTTCAAATGTGGGCAATACTGTGAGAAGTCGCTCTTCTGGTTATGCTCCAATCTATTTAGTATACGATGATATTGTAGAAGATAGCTCTTGGTATGACTCTTTTAGTATTTCTCATGTGAAAAGGGCATGTAACACCGTAGCACATATGGTTGCTAGGTGGGATACATACGGTAATTCAGAGTACATTTATATGGGTCCTTTCCCTAATGGCATTTCGTCATTGGCGGATATTGATTTGATTTAATAACATGCCGAAGCTATTTTCTCTAAAAAAAAAAAACACTTAAATTTTTCTAACATGAACAAAAACAAGACCAATCTTCAAATTCAAAAGTCAAAATTGGTAGACCAAATGGTCCAAAGTAGATACCGAAGTAACTACGACCAGAATTATTATTTTTTTAAAGAAAATTACGACCAGAATTAATTATTATTATTATTATTTTTTAAGAAAACTAAGACCAGATTATTTAGTCACAGTTTCTGAGTGCTGGCAGTAGTCTGGAGTCTGGAGACTCTGGACTGAGGTTTGGAGGATTAGAGTTTGCCAGTGCCATGACTTCGCCATGTAAGTACTAACACCAACAACACTTTTCAAATTATTATTTTTTTTGAAATTATTGTACTACGTATTTTGCATTATTTTCCCACCTTATAAAGTTATAATTATTCGGTTATCAATCACCTGCTTAAATACTTTCTTTAGCCTTTTTATTTCGATCATTCTATAATACAGTTGTAGATGTTTTTTTTTTTTTTTTTTTTTTTTGGGGGTTTAATGTTGTAGAATACTACGGAGTACTTAACAACCATTAAAATTCTTCTATTTGGAAAAGGGGGGTTTGTTAATGGAATTGGTGTTCACTTCACCTTATTTTTTCTGAATTGAAATTATTTTGCTGAATTGAACTTAACTTTACTGAATTGAAATTATTTTTGTTGAACTGAAATTATTTTTACTAAATCTCTATTATACTTCTTCATTACATTTACTGAATTTATTGAACTGAAATTATTTTTACTAAATTGAACTTATTTTTACTTAACTAAAATTATTTTTACTAAAATGAAATTAATTTTACTGAATATTATTTTTAAGGTGAAGTGAACAGGGCCTAATTTGGTCTAATTAATTTGTGTTGGAGGTACTAATGTCAAGATTTTCAACCATTTTATGTATGAGTCTTCAATTTGTGAATTTTAGATTGGAAACATTCTCCTGCATGTAAAAAATAAGATTTGTTGGGTATCTTTATTAACTTGAGTGTGCTATGTATAATTGATTTGGGTCTATTTGACTGGGCTTTGGTTTGGTTATGGTTTTGTTAGTTGATGTCCTTGATGATTAGTCGTATATTTATCAAAAATATTTTAAGTGGACATCAAGAGAGAGAGAAAAAAATTACTCCCTCCTTTTCACTTATAATAAATTTTGATTTGAAGATTTGCCATTTCAAAATTATTCACTCAATAATTATGTTAAGAAATATTCAATATGGGTATTGTAGGGAATAAATTTCAAGCGTTAATCCCCTTGCTTGAACCCCACTGTGATCATACACTAAAGTACAGTGGCGTCCAAAAGGGAAGAAGATAGAGCAAAAGAGTCGCCAACAAGTTTTAGGAACTTGTAAACCGTTCACAAGGTGAAGGTTACACCCCTTAACGATCCAAGAGATCGTCAACTCCATAAGGTCTTGAACCAAATAAGGGTTCGGGGATGAAGGTACAAATTCAACCTAAAAGAGATTGAACCTGCCCTACTAATAGGCCTCTACTTTATTCTGATCGTATTCATGTGCGCTTTTTGACTAACATGCAATCAATAGGATTAACCCTAAACTTATTTATCTATGTTGGTTGAATATTAATGCACAAATAAACTATTATTGGCGATCACTTGAATTATAATCAAAATTAACCCTGAACAAGATTATTAATTATCTTATTAAGCGTGATTACAAGTACCAAATTCCTTTAAACATGCATACAAGGTGTGATCAAGCAATAACAATAAATATCAAGCAACATAATAATAATCATCACAATAATTATAATCATCATAACAATAATCAAAATAATAATTATAATCATAATCATCATAATAACAATCATATTAATCATAATAATAATCATGTTAATAATAATAATAATTATAGCAATAATAAAATTATAATCATAATCAAAACAATTACAAAAATAATCATAAATAATGTTAAAGCATAATAAAAATAGCAAGATCCTAGGCATGATACTAACAAGATTAATAACAAACCCTAGCATGTCACTAAGCAATAAAAATCAAACCTTTAGCCCTAACATGATACTAACAATCATAAGTACTAGGAAGAACATAAAATGCATCATAACAACCATATTTAATATTAAAATTACCCTAGACATGATACTAAGAATATCATAATAACAATTTAAACATGATTTCTACATCATAATATCAATAAAAACCATTAAAGTACTTACTTTGATGCCTCGTACCTCTTTCTAATAACAAAATACACACGTCAGTAACTTCAAGGAAAATAATAAACAAAACAATTAAATTAAATAATTGAAAGAGAGATTTGAGACCAAACCCTCAGAATTAAACCTTTCACGTCTAGGGCGAAGGCAACTTCGAATATGGCTAGGTGCTTCTAGATCTTGCGAATGCGGAATTTTGTATTTGAAAAACAAGTTTAGAAAAAGAAAGAGATGGAGAGATGGATTAGAGAATGCGAGAATTGATGATTGCGAATGAAAACTGGTTGTAGGTGAATGAAAACGGAGTTTTTACGACGTTATTTATAGAGAAAATCAGCCAAAAAGATAAAATTAACAAAACAGAGTCCTGGCGCACAGAAAAACGAACCAGCGCCAACGCTGGCTGTTCGCCAGGCGCCAACACTAGCGCCAGGCGCCAAGGCTGGAGCCAGGCGCTACAGCTGGCGTTTGGCGCTGATTTCAGAAATTCATACGTTTTCTAAAATCAGATAAAAATTACCGTACAAGAGGATAAAATCGTATTTTTCTCAAAAATGCTCTTTGATTTTAATTAAAACTCTGAAAAGTCAACAAAAGTCAATTTATCAATGCTAATTGAATTAGGAATGAAAATAACCTTCTAGAAGAATATAGAAGACTAAAATCATTCCTAATGATAAATCATATTAGGCCCTCCCCTAGATCATTGGGCCGCATATAAGGCTCAAACCGGGCCCAGTTCAGTAAATTGGCAATAATTTCCTCAATATTCATCGGAATTGGGCTTATAATATATCGTTGGAAAGCTCTTGTCAAGCCTCATCCAACTACACTACTATTGGACCCATATCATGGACCAACCAAACTGGATTGGCTGTTTTCTTAAAATAAGTTTTCAAAAATAGAGAGAAGAGAAAAGAAATTAAAACTATCCGCAACACTAGACTTTCCACACTTTAAATTCATTCGATTATGATTCGACGCGAAAGGTACTCATCATCGGGTTTGGTTTTTGGGGAGACACAAATGGGTGTCTACATGTATATCATTTTGGAACGCCCAAAATAGTATATGGGACTAACAAAGTGAAACAGAGGAAGTATTAAAAAAAACTCAAAAAAATGAAACATTACTTTAGGAGAGAGATATCTAATGACAAGGCACATGACCATTGGCGGGTGGGCAAGCGGATCATCGACATGAAATCTGAACAGTAAATGAAAGTCTTAGTACTTAAATGCTAGTATCCAAAGGTTTGAACTAACAAATTAGTGCACAAGGTTTTCAACACTTCCCTAGTGAGTATCCTAAGATTTGAACTCCAAGGAGCGAGGAAGGGACCTTGTATACACATACCTTGACTTTAGAGCTTAAGCAACTCCGCTAATCTTGGCCTACACCTTGGGCTCTCATGAGTAATTCAGGAAAACTACACCACAATTTTCCCTTGAAGGAGGCCACCCCTCGTACTCACGTAGGTGTTCCGTCTGTGCATTACTTACACATTCCCAGCATATCTAGGGTATTTCCATGCAGGCTTAAAACACATTCAAGAACCTTGCAAACCCAAGACTATCTATGCAATGGAATAAGAACATTAAGGGATACTCCCAACCTCTGTCATTCGGTACCACTATCGTTCCCTACTCGAGAAGTATCAGGGCTAGTGATTCTAATTTATTTAGAAATCATTATCGTTCCCACTTCTCAAGCAACTGGGCAGTAGTATTAAGAGCAAGCAATGCTCAACCTTCCACCTTCGGTGTCACTTTCAATCCTACTCTAAGAGCCACTAGGCTAACGGTCTTAAATCCACTTAAGAACCATTATCAATCCTTGCTCAAAGAATAACTGGACAAATGACATTAAGAGCCACGCTCAACCTTACTGAATCTATTTACCTGGTCAACAGACCACAAAAAGAGTTATGGATTCAATAAACATATATGGTGTAAATCCAGCAATGAGTCAACCAAAACAAGGCTCCAGACCCATTCAGAACAAAAGTTCAACAAATTAAAACACTTCGGTGTGTCCATGCAAGCTGTCTCAATTGACCACCCAACCTGGGTTATGGACATATTAAGAGAACTTAAAGCTCAACCTGCAAACGTCAAGCAACAAGTCTACCAAAGCATCTCATAACCATATAAATTAGAGGGTTATCAAGCCTGATCACTTCAGGACGTAGACTCAATTTTTAAACTTCGTCACTAGAATAATTTAAAATTCCCCACAGGATCTTAAATACATTCTCTTAGACAATCAAGCACTTACTTGTGCTTCATCCTTATATAAGGACCTGCTTGATTCTTCTTTGCTTTCACGTACTCTGACATGAGTATCACCTCCACAAGATCTGTCTAACTTTGTCACTACATCTGTAGTTCGTGACAACATACATAGACACTTATGAAAAAATAATGTAGAGAACATGAGGATCAACTTACCCCCACAACGGAAAAACTTCCAGAGATTAATTTTTGCAACAATCATCTTCTTGACACACGTCATCCAATCACTAGTGGAAAAAAGGCCATCCGTAACGGGAAAAAAGGGCCCATCCGTAATGGACAGCGTCCGTTACGTATGCGGCCGTTACGGATGGCCATTATTATTCGTAACGGGCATTGTCATTTAAAATGTCCGTTACAAATAATGGGTTATTCGTAACAGACATTTCAGGTGCCCGTTACGAATAAGGCCTTTTTTGTTCTAAAGTAAATCCTTATTTGTAACGGGCACCTGAAACGCCTGTTACGAATAACTCATTATTCGTAACGGACACCTCAATTGCCCGTTACGAATAAGATTTTATATTATATAATTAAATACTTATTTTAACGAGCAACAAAAATGCCCGTTACGAATAAGTGCTTATTTGCAACTAACAACTCTCCTACCCGTTACCAATAGTCATTAAATTATTTTTTTTTTTCATTAAATTTCAGCAACACGTATTTATATATAATTAATATATTAATTAAAACCTATTATAATAAACTTGTTCCTGTAAATAAACAATTATACCGAACAAAATTTCGTAAAAATTAATACAACATAATATCAAAATTTAAGTAGTAAAACATTACAAATAAAGAATGCTTGCGATTTGGATTTTTTAATCCAATCTTAGGGATCTACTGGGAGTTAAATATGTACAGTGAAACAAGACATGATAAAACCAAGGGATTATAATAGTGCAGGAATTCCTGTGACACTTCAGTAGTTCAAACATCGACCAATCTTCCAGAAAACAGGACCAGGTTAAGGAGAACAGCTAGGACTCCATCATCTTCATAAGAAATGCAGTCTCCAAGGCCAACTCTTTACTTCTCATGTACCTGTTCTCTTCAACTATCTCAGTTGTTAAGTTAAGCAGAATAGGGCGAGCTGGGTCATATTGTACTTTCTCGGACACGTGCAGCCCATTTCGCAGCTTCCCATACGCCAAATCTGATTTTTGGAGCAGGAAGGAGGCATAACATATAAAGGGGTTAGTGTTTAATATTATGCATCTGATTGACTGTTTAACAAAAATAACAGAGAGACAGAAATGAAAAAAAAAAAAACAAAAATGAACACTCAATAGCATAGCTTCAGAACGACAATAAGAAGAACAAACAGAAACAACTCCCCAATAACAATCACAGAAGCAACACAGCAGCGGCTGAGATGAACAGTAGCTGCTAGTGCATCAGAGAATACAGCAACAAAATAAGAATAATAATAACAACTGAAGCCAAAATCAAAAGCACAAACATAACAATTATTACTTTGAGCCAAGGGAAAGAGTAGCAAGATATCAAAGGCACAAACATAAAGGAAAAACAATGTAGAAAATCAACCAAGCACTTAATTATGCATAGGAAACTGTATGCAAACTTCAGAATCTCCGTAATAAGAAAAGACTTCCCCGTATCAAACAAAAGCTATGTAAGTGGGCGAATATCGCTTATGTGATTGGTCAATTGAATAGGTTCACTATTAATTCTAGAATGCTATGTTGGCAAACGGTTTATTGTTTGTTGTAGTATTTGTTGAAAATCATGGATTATGGCTTGTGGTTTAGTGGGTATCCTTCGGTTATTGAAGGATATTCGGATGCAAGTTGGATCTCAAATAAAGATTGTTCATTCACAAGTGGATGGGTATTCCCATATGGAGGAGGTGTCATGTAATGGGCATCAAAGAAGAAAATTAACTTGCATTCTATAAGACATTGAAGGTCATTGCATTACATTCCGCTGGTAAAGAAGCAGAATGGTTAAGGGTTTTAATGCATGATGAGATTTCTTTGTTGCAAAAGCCAATATCACTAATAGTGATGAATTGTTGGGATAACAATGTAAATTTGGCTCAGGGATATAGCCAAGTGTAAAATTATAAAATAATGAGTTAAGGTATATTGGTGTAAGGTATAGTTACATCAAGGACTTAATAAGGACGGTGTAAAAACTATTGTTTATTTTCGTACGAAGTTTTATCTCGCTAGTTGCTTTAAAAAGCATGGGTTAGAGATGTTAATAAAAGGATGGCAATCATTTTAGATTGGAGCCCCATTGTAATCACAATTAGGAGAATCTCAACTTAACGCCCAATAAGACGTTGGGTCTTAAGTTCAATGAGATCAATTCTCTTATTTGATGATTGGAAACTTGTTTATTCATCCAAGGTTAAGTTCCGATTTTACTGTGATGAAAAGAGGTTGTTTTTAACTTAATAGAATTCCTGATATATTGCTCGGTCACAGGAGCATGTTTGGAAGTCTACCTATATAAGTACGAAGTTTAGCCGCTTCAAGAAGCTATTGGGGCATAACCCTTTGATGTACTTATGAATAGATATGGACACATATCTTATAGTGTCAAGCTAATATGTATTTAAGTAATTAATCTTGTGTGTGTAATGTCTTCAAGTTTCCAAATGTGTTGCTTTTGGTTCAAACGTTTTACGATACCAAATGAATACGGATTCTTGAATTGTATATTGCTCTAAGTGGGAGTTCAAGTCTATGTACACTTTAATTTATGCACGAGATTGTTTTGTGATGATGATGTTATTTTTGCAATGAGTCTAGTTTAATTCTCAAAATGGGGGAGGATTGTTGAATTATTTTGAGAATTGGAGACAAAATTCATGTAATTAATTAATTTACTTAGGATATGGTGTTGTAGATTAATTAAACAAGATTATTAAAGCAAATAACAAGATTAATTAACCTTGGTAAAAAGGTTGAAAGAAGGCAGAACACTTCGCGGGTTAGAGAAGTAATAGCAGCTGGCCCGGTTCACCGCCCGATCTGGGTGGTGCTCGCCCGATCGGGCGCGAGGGTCAGTTCTGGAATCTCTCTGCCGCCCGGTCGGGCGGGCGCGAGAGTCAGTTAAATTCTGACATAATTCCAGTTAGCCCGATCGGGCGGCGGGCCCGATCGGGTGCGCGAGTCAGGGAGGACGTTTGAGGCTGTCAATTTTTTGACAGTTTTGCTTGGTTTTTGACGGTTACTGTAGGGAATAATTTCAAGCCTTTAAAATCCCACTAGCTTGAACCCCACTGTGATCATACACTAAAGTACGGTGGCGTCCAAAAGGGAAGAAGATAGAGCAAAAGAGTCGCCAACAAGTTTTTAAGGAACTTGTAAACCGTTCACGAGGTGAAGGTTACACCCCTTAACGATCCAAGAGATCGTCAACTCCATAAGGTCATGAACCAAATAAGGGTCCGGGGATGATGGTACAAATCTAACCTAAAAAAGATTGAACCTGCCCTAATAATAGGCCTCTACTTTATTCTGCTCGTATTCATGTGCGCTTTCTGACTAACATACAATCAATAGATTAATCCTAAACCTGTTTAATCTATGTTGGTTGAATATTAATGCACAAATAAACTATTATTGGCGATCTCTTGAATTATAATCACAATTAACCCTAAACAAGATTATTAATTATCTTATTAAGCGTGATTGCAAGTACAAATTCCCTTTAACATGCAATAAAAGGTGATCAAGCAATAAAGAATAAATAACATCAAGCAACAATAATAATCATAATAATAATTATCATGAATAAAATAATCATCATCAAAATAATAATCATAAATAATAACAATTATAATAATTATCATGTTCATGTTAATATTATAGCATAATAAAAATAGCAAGATCCTAGGCATGATACTAACAAGATTAATAACAAACCCTAGCATGTCACTAAGCAATAAAAATCAAATATTTAACCCTAACATGAATTAATATTAGGAAGAATATAGGAAGCATCGCAACAATCATATTTAATATATTTGATATTATAACCTTTTCCCTAAACATGATACTAGGAATATCATAATAACAATATAAACATGATTTCTACATCATAATATCAATTAATCAATTAAAGTACTTACTTTGATGCCTCGTATCTCTTTCTAATAACAAAATACACACGTTAGTAACTTCAAGGAAAATAATAATCAAAGCAATTAAATAATTGAACTAGAGATTTGGGACCAAACCCTCAGAAATTAAAACCTTTCACGTCTAGGGCGAAGGCAACTTCGAATATGGCTAGGTGTTTTTAGATCTTGTGAATGCGGAATTTTGTATTAAAAAGCAAAGTTTAGAATATTTATTCTAAAGAATGAATGAAGATTGATGAATGAAAGAGATGAACGAATAGGATGAATGAAAGAGATGAATGAACGTTGATAATTGGTCTATAGATGAATGCTAATTGATGAATAATTTGTGAATGAAGAGAGCTGATTAAAACTTAAGAATCAAGAGAATTGGTGAATGAAAACGGAGTTTTTAATACGATATTTATAGAGAAAATCATCCAAAAAAGATAATTTAACAAAACAGAGTCTGAAAATCGCAGAAACACATTGGCGCCAGCCCTGGCTAGTTGGCGCCAGCACCAGTGGCTAGCGCCAGGCGCCAATGACTAGCGCCTGGCGCCAATCCTGGTTCCAGGCGCCAAGGCCTGGGGTTGGACGCCAAAGTGGTTTTCCACGCGTTTTCGAAAATCTGATAAATTTCCTGTACTGGAAGATAAAATAATATAATTCCAAACGAAAATGCTATTTGATCTTGATTAAAACTCTGAAGAATCCTAACTGAATTAGGAATGATGAAGACCTTCTAGAATTTTCTAGAAGACTAAAACCATTCCTAATTACATTAGGAATGATAAATTATATTAGGCCCTCCCCTAGATCATTAGGCCGTACTTAAAGCTCAAACCGGGCCCAGTTTAGTAAATTGGCCATAACTTCCTCAATATTCATCGGAATTGGGCTTATAATATATCGTTGGAAAGGTCTTTGCAAGCCCCATCCAACTACACCACTATTGGACCCATATCATGGACCAACCAAACTGGATTGGCTGTTTTCTTTAAAATAAAGTTTTCAAAAACAGGGAGAAGAAAAAAAGAAATAAAACTTTCCGCAACACTAGACCTTTCCACACTTTCGTTTCATTCGATTATGATTCGACGCGAAAGACACTCATCACCGGGTTTGGTTTTAGGAAGACACAAATGGGTGTCTACAGTTACATTCGTGGCTGTTGGAATGTTTTTTTGCTTTAATATATATATGTTCTAAGAACATATGTTGGATAGGACTTGAGAAAAATAATCAGAAATTTATTTTTCTTGAAACCTTTTGCAACTTATTATCATCATCATAAATCCAAAGGCTTATCTACATTGAATTGTAATCATCCTACTTGTGATTGCAATTGTTCTTCGTTGTATCTCCTAAGTAAATTTCCGTGAAACCCGGTTGTAGTATAGGGTCGGAATTATACTTTTGGGAAAGTGATTCCGTTCACGCCTCGAAGATTTTACGGTTTAATTTGTTTGCTATCTTTGTGACCCTTGTTAAACACAAAATCCCCTCTAGATTTTAAATCATGCTAAGGGTTTTCATATGGATTTTAAATTTCTGCTGAAGTATCGCTGAGCATAATTTTGTATGTGACTACCCTCTAGATTCGTTGTACAAATATGTTTCTTTGCCTTAACTTGTGCTGAGGACGGATAATGAATTTGCTTTCTACAGGTGAAGTGGCCAGATGGGAAGAAGTTTGAGGATGTTTTTGTAGACACTCTGAAGAAGTATGGTTACAATGGCTCATATTTATCTAAAGATTGGCTAAAACAGCCTGGTTTCATTCAATCATTCGCTCCATTATCAATTGTCTACATATCAAATAATACAGATTTGCCCAAAATCTTGTTGATTGATAACACAACTTCGCGAATAGAAGATACTAACCAGGTTATAACCCTTCTTTCATTTTCTTTTCCCTCTTTTAATTTGTTGGCGAGTGATAAATTCCCACCAATGTTTACTAGAATTTCTAAATTTAACAGAGTAAATAGATATGACGTATTGCATTTGTTAAGATCCTTCTTGAACCTTGCTAAGCAAGGTTCAAGAAGGGTCTTAACAAATGCAATATAAAGAACTACCAAGTTAAATTAAACAACGCACTTCGTACAAGATAACAAGACACTAGCTGTTGCTGTGAATCCTTTTTCATCAACTTGGTAGTTAGCGAGTAGTTGCTTGTGTTGCTTCTATAACTGCTAGTCTGCTAGCATTGTGGATCAATGCATGATCATTTATTTTCTGATTAGTTTTCAAAATGTAATTGATGATTTGCAGACTTACTTTGAAGTCACTTCGAATGCCTACTTTGACTACATAAAGAAATACGTAGTTGATATTGGGCGGGGGAAGGATACAGTGGTTCCGGCAGTAAACAATCATCTACAATCTCCTACTGATCTGGTTGCCAGAGCACATGCTCATGGTCTTCAGGTGTGTAATCCTTCTTTTTGTTTTCATCATCCAAGTTTTCATATCCAATAGCTTTTGGCATGAACATGTAACTTCATGTTGTTTAGCATGTTGTTTATGTGATAAAAGAGTTCTCAATTTGACTGATTTAAATGAAGAAGTTAATGAACACATGAAACCCTTTTAGTTGTGGTAATTTTAGGGTTGTTGACTTATTGGACTCACCTGGGAATATGAAACTTTGACACACTTGTATGTAACCAAGTTATTAGGGTGTATTCTGATTTACTGAACTGAACTGAATAGAGCTGAAATGAATTGTTTATAAGAGAAGGAAATTAAAAACTGATTGGAACTGAATTGAAATTAAGTTGAAGAGAACAGACCCTTGCTATATATGTTTGGGGAACAAGCAATCAACTATCTGATTTCAACCTCGAACCTAATTGAATAAACCTTCAGTGCGTGCGTACTTGTTCAGTTGCACAATCAAGGACTTTATGCTAAGTTGTTTCCCATTGTTACATCCAGGTGCATCCTTATACCTTTCAAAATGAGAACAAATACATTCATTTCGAGTTTCATCAAGATTTTTATATTGAATTTGACTTCTGGATAAACAAGATGGGGGTGGATGGCCTCTTCACTGATTTCACAGGAAGCCTTCATAACTTCCAAGAATGGACCGCTCCTCTCTCTCCGGGTATGGTGAATAAACCATGATTAACAATATTACCATCGCGTTGCATGAGGTTTCTACAAACAGCGAAACTAGTTATAGTTATTATTTGCATCACCCAGGTTGTTTAATAAACTTTTTATCTAAGTATCAAAACTATTTAAATTATGTAGTGGGCATGTAATGACTAACAATAATATTGGTGAAAATGTTTGATTTCAAAATTATATATAAAACAAATAGCAAAGTAAGATTAAAATATTAGAAATTTCTAAACATTAGCCAAAAATAATTTTTATTTTTTTTAAAAAATTGTTCTGAACCCATTGGGTTGACCCAAACCCGAAACTTTGGACCAGCGTTGAAAATTCATGACTCGTGACCTGAAGTGACCCAACCTGAAATGATCCGCGATATGACCCGATAGATACATACAGTAATAAAATCATATAGAGTGTGAAGTATTTTATTTCAATCGAGTAGAACATATTCTTTTCCATTTTCCCTTTACTTTTAGGTATAAAATAGTATTATCAACATTTTTTTTGATTTATCAAATTTTTAGTTACATTTATGTAATTTTTATTCTTATTTTATAGTTTCTCGAAAAAAAATTATTATATGTTGGATTAAAATTTTCAAAAAATATGTATGGATAGTACAGATAAAAAGACTAATTGTGATTTGACCGTTTTATAAGGTGAAAAAAAAAATCAATCATATTGTATACCATTAAAATAATATGGTAGTCATTTTTCAAACGACTACTGTAAAATCATCTCTAGTCAGTGGGTTAGATGGGTCTTGGATCGGGCTGTGCCAAGTTAGATTGGGGTAGGTTGAAGTGGGTTGGAATAGAAAAACTCAAACCATAAATCCACAATCCACTATAAAATTAAAAATATACTCCTACTACGATTTGTGCTGATTTATTTCAAATTGAAATCAATACTCCCTCTGTGTTTTTTTAAGTGTTACAATTTGATCAAATACGCATGTCGAGACACAACTTTGACAACTAATTTATCTAATTATATGTAAAGTAAAATTATAACAAATTTGATATTATAAAAGTATACATAATGACGAATCCAACAATGTATTATACAATAACATTTGTTTTTCTCTAGATTAGTGAACTAATTAAGTCAAAAACCATTATACGAATAGTAAAAAAAAGTCAAGTGTAACACTTAAAAAAACACGGAGGAAGTAACTAGGTTAACTTTGAAAAATCAACGAATAAATCAAATTAGGGCTGGTGGTGTCCGATCCAACCCAAAAAATTCAAATTCAAAGACGAAGGAAAATTCAAAAAAAGGAATATAGGACATAAAGATTAAAGAGTAACAAAAGTACCAATATAAAAATCAACATAGATATAGACCATATAGTATAGTCTTGAATATCATTCATTCATAAATCATGATACGCTCCAACACTTGGTGTACCCCTCTAAGGCTGTGCCACTCACAATTGTATCACACGAGTAATATCTTTATGCATTAATCCACCCATTTTCATATTATTATTATGTAAATTTAAATCCAATTAAAGTTGACTAAATATTCCTTATATCACTCCCCCACTTGTCCTTTTCAAATTAAATTTATACCCATAATGGGTCAAACGTGTTCTGACCCAATCCCAATTTTCCAAAAATACCCTTCAATCCAACCCTGTTTTATTCAAACTATCAAGGGCATATTCGTCTTTTCGCTACCATTCAAAATTCTCACAGAATCCCGCTCATGATTTCAAATTTTCAAGAAAAATTAAAAAAATGAGAAATTTGTCTGCAAATTCACAAAACCCTTCACCATAAAACCTGCTTCTCTTCCTCATTTTGAACTTCGCCATTTTCTCTCTCCTACTTTCTCTCTCTACCCTTTGCTCAACTCAGTTTTCTCCCTTCTTCATCATCTCCTCCTCAAAAATTACAGTTCTTATTCTTATATTCTGGAGGAATTTCATTGGGTATGTTTCGTTTTGTTAATTTAATCGACAATTTTAATTTATTTTACTGGGTTTTCGGTTTAATTCGAAGCTAATTTGTTGATAATTTATCTGGGTATTTAATTTTATGCGTTTTAATTGATGATGATTGTGATTATCATCTGGGTTTGAGTTTTATGTCAATGCATTTGTTGAAATTGGTGAGTTTGTTTATCTGGGTTTTCAATTTGTTAGCATTTTACGTCGAAAAATTGTTTGGGCATTTCTCATTTTGTGTTCTAATCAATAATTATTTATCTGAGCTCAAATTTCTGTAAAAACATTTGTTTGACTTTATGGGTTTCTTTAAGCTTATTTTATTTATCTGGGTTTCAATTTTATGGGCCAAATTTTGGGGTAGAATATGAAATTTGTTTCTAGGTGTTTATTGCTTTGATTCTTTAATCATCACTGATCATCTGCGTGTCTAATTAATTTAACCAACTTTTCAATAATAACTGGGTTATCTTGAATTATTGCTCAGTATTTTCATTTTTAATTCAATTAATTTACTGAAGAAATGGGGTTTTTCTGCTGAATTGAAATGTGCGAATCAGTTCTTGGTGTCTTAATTGCACTATTCTTCAAATTTGGCTTACTTAATTGATTCAAATTTCATCATAAACCTGCATTTTATGTTTCAAATGATTGTCAATTGCAATTAATTTCAGCTTGGATTGAAAAAAATGCAGGAATTCAAGCATAAAAAAAATGCCTACACCATCAAGAGATAGATTAGCAAGACCTGTGGATATATCTGCCCTGTACCGGGGAGCTGCCCGGCGAGTTGATCTTATTGTCGATCAACCCGGGCTTACTTGGACTGGGTTATCTGGAGACGGGTCTCGAAATGTCTCCGGTGGTGGTAGTGTATCGGGTCGAAGAGCTGGGATTGGGCGAGGCTGGTATACACAGAGGCAACTACAGACAGGCCAGGAAAACAGAACTCCGAGGATGATGGCTGGACGACGTTATGGCGGTGCTCGAGGCAGGGGAAGTAGGTTGCCTTCATGGTATCCAAGGACCCCTTTAAGGGATATCACTGCTATTGTGAGGGTAATGATTCTTACCCATGTATTGTATAATCTTTTTCAGTGTAATTTTGGTTTAATTAATGATATTTGATATCTTTTCTGATGAATTTTTTAATGTGTTAGTATTGTTACATGTAGGTATGATTAGATTGCATTTTGTTTTATGAACTATGATGTTGAAATGATGGGATTTAAAGCTGATTCTGAAAAATTAGTTGTTATATCTTTATTGAAATTAATTTATGTGGGACATTAGTATATGTGATTACTGATTAGTAAAGTGGAACACTAGAACTTTTTATTGTATCATTCAAACTGCTATAATTTGCATAGAATGGTTACTATAGATATGATGTGCCAATTTTGGATGTATTTGAATTGATGTCGGCTAATAGTTCAACACTTAAGAGTGGCTTACTTTAAACTTTACATTGGAATCTAGAGAAATCAGTTGAAGATAATTGTTTGATCTGTCATGCTTACTTTTAAGTGTCACGAGCAATGTGGCTTGAATGTCACTTATTGGACACGTTTTTTCGCTTGCTACATTCGAGTGATTAGGCATTTAGTTGCACTAGCTTAATTACTTGAAGTAGCAGGTGTTGTGTTATGTATTAGTATGTTTACTGCTACATCTGTGAACCAATACCTGCATTGTTCCTGATGTACACAGGCCATTGAGAGGAGGAGAGCTGAGCTGAATCGAACCACTGAAGCTACTGAAGAGCAGACAAATACAGAGACAGCAACGGCACCAAATGCTGAGCCTGAGCAAGAAATTGGCTCCCAAACGCCCCTCCCTACCATTTCAGTAAAGCCTCAACCTTCACCAGCCACTAAAGTATGGCAGATCACACCTAGGAATGCTGATAACAACGAGACAGGTTCTGATTTCATGACCCCACAGAAAAGACTTCTACATTCGATTGAAAAGGTGAGAGAAGTTTGGCTGGAAGATCGAAAAAAACTAGAGAAGACACCTGCTGCCAAGAGGGCAGAACGAGAAAAGAAGGTGCGTACATTGATGTCAATGAGATGACCCATGGAGTATGCCCAGATGGGAAGGGAGTTTTGTGCACTTTCAAGTTCAGAGTGATGGGAACGAGTTGAAAGGAGGAGAATGGCCACAGGCGATCATCTTCTGATGATCCCATATCCTAAGGCGATCATCTTCTGATGATCCCATATCCTAATACTACTACTACTATCCTTCAGCTATGCTTGTGCTATCGCTCACAGCAACTAGTTTAGCTACACTTGCAGCTATCTTTCACCTCATGTAGTTTACCAGCTATGCTTGTAGCTGTGGGTAGGCAGCATCTAAGCTTAGCTATGATTTAGTTATCATAACTGACATTTACTGCACTTCACTTCTAGTGAAGTTCAGAAGCAAACTATTACTGCTAGGTAAATACTAATATTAGCTGTTAGCCTCTGCTGACATTGTAGTGTAAGATGCGCGGCAAATTTTGCATTTTTGGCAGCTTAGTTGTTGCATAACAGCAATGCTTGTTGCTTTAGGAATAGAGGAAACTGGAGCACTCCATGTAAATGAGAGGTCGGATTAGATTTTGTTTCATCTGATAACATTGTAAAGATTGATTCTTAGTATAATTGAAGGAAAAAATTCATGTATTTCTGTGAGTTTCTGCTCTTCATATTTTACCTTGTAAGTTGGTGGCCTTGATGGCTTGAATGAAGCACAATGTTGTGGACAGGCAAAGGACAAAGGTACACTTACGTGGAGTTTTACTAGAAAAATGATACTGGTAAATTTTTTTTTTTTTTTTTTTTGCGTTCAGGTTTCAAGATTAAAGGGTGCATATACTTGCAAGACTAGAGTCGGCCAACTACCTTCATTGTCATATTGGCTGTCCCGTGTGAGTATGCAACCTATGGACGTCATTGCCTCATTGGGGCGGAGGGGATGATAATCAGAACGTTGTGCCCCATTCCCATTTTTTATCTCAGCCCTAAGTGGGTACAAAACAAAATTTATCGTTACTCCCTCTACTCAATTGTGTATCCACATCCATTTAACACTCATCTTACTCGCCCTACCACCTACTTTATACATTCTTAATTTTGCTTCCCATGTTAAAAACTGTAAATGATATGAGTATTTTATGATACAGTAACAAAATATATAATTCCGGTACCAATATAGTTGAAATCAAAGAGGAATTAACAGGTAGATCAACTCTCATTGATTCGGAAAGGGGCCAGTACAAATCAAAAGGCAGATGAAGGTGCATGGTCTAGCTTGATCATTTGCTGTATTTATGTGATTGTATTATCATGTTCTGGTGTTTAGAAACAGGTTAGAGAATGTTGCAAAGCTTTTACTTACTACAATTATTAGATAAAAGGTGAGAAATGCTTAAGCTAAATCATTTTTACACATTCACTTACAAAATTAATCTGCATCCTACTTCTTTGCTCACAAGTCATAACATAGTCAGTCACTTCAGTCCAAGAAAAAAGTGAAACAGAAAAATCTAACACAGACTACACAGGTGCTGGTAGGTGCACGATGATTCCTTGATAACGAAATTAATCTAGAATAATCTCATAGACGCACAGAGATTTGCTCATTTTAGTAATTTTACTAGCTGAATACATGATCGTATCCATCCTAAAAATTAATTAAAAAATTATACAGTACTTGTGTAATATATTAGTTAAGGAGTATAAATATATATGATCCCACTATAAAAATTGTTAGATTTCGGGAAAACTCCTCAGATTGGAGTGTGTACCATTGATTCATATATCTAGAGGTTTACAAGAGTCGTAATCTTGTTATGATAAGGATACGAGATATAATAAAATATATACAAAATTATCCTAATGTGCGACAAATATTATCGTAAACATAATATCTATCACACCCCCGCAGTCGTAGCGGGAGGAGGGCGTACGCTAAGACTGGACCTAAATTCCAGAAATAATTCTCGTGGTAGGCCTTTAGTGAAGATGTCGGCAAATTGATATCTAAAAGGAACATGGAGAACCCGGACTTGCCCCAAAGCAACCTTTTCTCGAACAAAATGAATATCCATTTCTACATGTTTGGTGCGTTGGTGTTGTATCGGGTTGCCAGAAAGGTAGATAACACTGACATTATCACAATACACAATAGTAGCCTGCCGCAGGGGACAATGTAACTCAAGCAAAAGATTGCGAAGCCAACACGCCTCAGAGACAACATTTGCGACGCCTCTATATTCTGCTTCTGCACTCGACTTAGATAAAGTAAGCTGACGCTTAGATGACCAAGATACGAGGTTGTTCCCAAGGAAACAACAGTATCCCGAAGTGGAACGCCGGGTATCGGGACAACCTCCCCAGTCAGCGTCAGTGTAAGTAATCAGTCGATGAGAAACAGTAGGATATAAATGTAAACCGTGATCAATGGTACCCTGAATATAACGCAGAATGCGTTACAATGCCTCATAATGGGGTTCCCGGGGATCATGCATAAAGAGACACACCTGTTGTACCGCATAGGAAATATCTGGCCTGGTAAAAAAGAGCACCTGCTAAACTGCGATACAAAGTAGGATCCCGAAAAGGTGGCCCTGCATCTGCACTAATTTTGGACTTAGTGTCAACTGGAGTGGCTGCAGGTTTATAAGAAGTCATTCCTGCACGCTCTAAAATTTCCTGTGCATATTTTTCCCGCGAAAGTAGCAAATAAGAAGGTTTTCGGGTTACTGCAATACCCAAAAAATAACTCAGAGGCCCCAAGTCAGACATGGGAAACTCAGTTTGCAACTGATAGATGATCCCTATCCGCAACTTGTCAGATGAGGTAACTAAAATAATATCATCAACATATAAAAGCAGATATGCCATATCATCTCCCTGCAAGAAAGTAAATAGAGAGTTGTCACTTTTAGCAATGACAAAACCCAATTTAATGAGAAAATTTGCAAACCGTTTGTACCAAGCTCTGGGAGCTTGTTTTAACCCATAGAGGGCCTTGCGAAGCCGACAGACATGAGATGGAGCCCTTCGATCAACAAAACCCGGAGGTTGATGCATATAAACTGTTTCCTGCAAGTCACCATGTAAAAAGGCATTTTTGACATCTAATTGATGTATTGACCACTTTTTAGCCAAAGCTAAACTGAGAACAGTGCGAATAGTGGCCGGTTTAACTACCGGACTGAAGGTCTCATCGCAATCCACACTTATTTCCTGCGACCTGCCATCACATACAAGACGAGTTTTGTGCCTTTCAAGGTCACCATTAGATTTGTATTTGTGTTTAAAGAGCCACATACAATTAACAATATTCACCCCCGTAGGCCTAGGCACCAACTCTCATGTCCCTGTTTTAATTAAAGCACTATACTCATCATTTATCGCCGCATTCCAGTTATGATCATTTAAGGCTTGTTTATAAGATTTTGGAAGGGGTGATTTTTTGGTGAGGTGGTCCCGAGGGTTGAATGGTAAGATTACAATATTTCGGGTTAGGCTTGAATATACCACATTGGCTACGAGTGATACGGGAAGAAGGGGGTGGTGGCCGTGTGGGTTGCAACGGAGGTACACCACGTAATGGTGGTGGTGTGTATGTGGGTTGAGGAGAGGCCGGAGCGGCGGGCTTCAGGGGTGGTGGCAGGCCAGACCGCGGTGGTGTTGCGGCTGGTGGGGTGGTGCCGCGGGACTGGTGCGGAGTGCACTGTGAAGATGTGACACGGGGTTGGTGCAATGATCGTGTGTGAGCTGTGAAGGTGTGGTGATGTTTGGGCTTGAGGGGGGTGAGAGTTGTTGGGCTTGAGGCTGATTGGGCCTTAAATGGCGCATGAGGACATGGGTTAAAAGGGGGGATGGATCATCAGTGGCTAAAAAATTATAATCCTCCAATTTATACTTGTGCAAGTTCATGTATGGCAAAGTATTTTCATCAAATGTCACATGTCGTGAAATAAATACTTTGTTTGATGAAATATCAAGACACCTATAGCCTCTATGATTTGGGGGGTACCCTAAAAACACACATGGAGTGGTACGAGGTGCTAGTTTGTGTGGAGTAGTAGAAGAGAGATTAGGAAAACAAAGACAACCGAACACCCTTAGATGGCCATAAGTGGGTTGTTTTCGAAACAAGGCATGAGTGGGGGTCATATTTTAGAGCTTTTGTTGGTAAAATATTCAATAGATAAGTTGCGGTCTCAAGAGCATAGACCCAAAAATTTGGTGGAAGAGAAGCATGAAAAAGGAGTGTGCGGTTGACATTATTTAAGGTGCGGATCATGCGCTCCGCCTTTCCGTTTTGAGATGAGGTATGTGGACATGAAAATCGGAAAACCATACCATTCTCTAAGCATTGCTTTTTGAATGGTTCATTATCGAATTCATGACCGTGATCGCTTTGAAAAGCTTTTATTGGTCTTTCAAATTGAGTGTGAACATAATTTCGAAAGTTTACAAAAGTCGAAAAGGCTTGAGATTTGTATGCAATGGGAATAGTCCAAACAAAATGAGTAAAATAATCAATTAAAACTAAATAATATTTATGACCATTAATGCTCCTAATTGGAGAAGTGAACAAATTGGCATGAATAATATCAAATGCACAATAGGTTTGACTAGTAGAATCATGAAAAGGTTGTCTAACATGTTTTCCTAATTGTCAAGAAACACAAAAATTGGAGTTACGCTCCTTATTACAATCAATGTAATTATTACTCCTAAGAAAACTTAATGAACTAGCACCAGGGTGTCCCAAGCGGCTATGCCAAGTGGTTGGAGAAGTGACCATGAGAGTTGATGCAATACATGAGGATGGTGAGGTGTTGGTGGTGATTGGGTAAAGGTCTCCCGAACTATTATATCTTGTTATTATCCTCCCCGTTCGAAGGTCCTTCACAGAAAAACCATAAGGGTCAAATTCAATAGAAACTAAATTGTCAGACGTAAATTTACGTACTGAAATTAAATTTTTAATGATTTGAGGGGCTAATAAAACATCACGAAGTGCTAATTTATTATTGGGGAGGGTAGTGTGACCATAACCTGTGATTGGAATGCGGTGACCATTACCTACTAAAATGTTATTATTAGTGCTTAAATTAAACAAGGGCATGAGAGTACCTGAATTGTGAGTCATGTGTGAGGTAGCACCCGAGTCCATATACCATCCGTTGTCGGGATTTGTAAGAGTCATGGACGAATAAGCGGAGCCCAATTCAGTCGGAGTGTATAATTGGCCATATTGAGGTGGCCCAGCCACGTAGGCCTGCTGAGGAGAGGTCCGGTTTGTCTGGCTAGATGGAGTAACCTCTGCCACGTCCCTTCCCACCGCCCCTGCCACCAGCGCGTCCTCCACCTGAGCCACGGCCACCATTGGAATTTGGTTGCTGGGAGTGACCATAACCTTGAGAGGATGCCGAATCTTGATGAGCAACGAAAGAAGATTGCTGCGATTGGCCTTGGTCATTGGCTCGACGAGACTCTTCGAGAAGAAGTCGATACCTGGCAGTGTTGAAGGAGGGCAAGGGATCGGTTTGTTGTATCATGGTCGCCACCGTATCGAAGTCAGTATTAGTGAGGCCAGACACTAGACGAATTACCATCTATTGCTCCGAGACGGGTTGGTCAATATTACCCAATTGATCGGATATACTTTTAAGTTGTTGACAATATGCAGTAACATTGGGAAAGTTACTAAGATGCAGCGAATTGAATTGATTTTCGAGATAGACAGCCCTTGTATTTTTGTTATCTTGAAAAATTTCCTTAATGCGATCCCAAATTTGTTGAGCAGTTGATTTTCGTTGACAAAATTGTCTCAAGAAGGTCGGTGGAGATAGAGCCATATATCCACTGCTTGACGATCGCATCAAGACGATCCCACAAAGTGCTCGAGATATCAGTAGGACGGGGAACGGTGGTGTCAATGTGATCTAACACATTGTAAGCGCAAGCATGATTCTCAAAAAGCTCAACCCAATTTGAGTATTTGACCTTCTCATAATCAAGAACAAGAGGAATTGCATTTTTAATGTTATTCACCGCCAAAGCTGGGTGAAATTCTGGCGTGTTTGGTGGCGGAGGTGAGGGAGGAGAGTCATCATCCTAGCAACGAACCAAGAATAAAAGAGAAGATGCAAGAAGCAATAAAGCAGAGAACCGAAATCAGGGAAAAAGGAACAGAGGACGAAAGAAAGTGCGGAAGCTAGAAGGAAAAAGGTCCCAAATAAAACCAAAAAACCAATAAAATTGGAAAAATAAAAAATTTTGAGATCTAAAACCTAAGCTGTGATACCATGTTAGATTTCGGGAAAACTCCTCAAATTAGAGTGTGTACCATTGATTCATATATATAGAGGTTTACAAGAGTCGTAATCCTGTTATGATAAGGATACAAGATATAATAAAATATATACAAAATTATCCTAATGTGCGACAAATATTATCGTAAACATAATATCTATCAAAAATATTAGTCCTATATTAATTAGTTTTAAAAATTCCAACTTTTTGTAAATATGTATATGTTGATTAAGGGGCTTTGCTATATCAATATCAATGATATCCTTAGATATGGACAATGCACAATGGACCTCCTCTTCCGGGTTAAATTTAGTGACATGCATGACAGCATGATTAGACTTCAACTAGATTACATTAGTAAATTGTATGTTTAGCTTTGAATTTTCTTAAAACAAATTAACAAATTATTCCTAATTCATAGCCAATAAATTACTATATTAATAGCGACTAACACATAATTTCTTTCCATAAATCCTAATACGATTGTAAACAATCAAGATTATACAAACTGTTAAATAACTTTAAGGAAGTTGGATAGTGGTGAAACTCAAGAAGTTTCTACACCAATGGAGTTTAGTCACCCCCTGTGAAAGGGCACGATATATAAATGTGAAACAACTCCAGATTTGATACAAGAAGATCCAGACATAGGTATAGTATCATGTATCATCGGATATACTTGATTCCCTAATCGCAAGAAGTTGTATGGTCCGACCCCTAATGTTCTATCATGTAATTTTGCTTTCTTTCCTTAGTTTAGGTTGTAATCTTTCTTTTCATTTAAAGTACTTTTTGTCAAAAAAAAAAAAAAATACTGATAAATAAATTTAGTACATTTTACTAACAAATAACAGCCCGTCTAGCTCAGTTGGTAGAGCGCAAGGCTCTTAACCTTGTGGTCGTGGGTTCGAGCCCCACGGTGGGCGTTTCCAATTTTTTCAATCTTTTTTCAGTCTGATTTGCATAAAGGTGTTAGTTAAACTTCTATGTTTTGATGCTGGTAATCATAACATATCCACATAATGCATAATCATGGATTTTTGTACAGTTTTTCAGCTTTACAGCACCCCAAATATACTTGTGCAGTTGCTCATTCCTTCCTTTTGCTCTTTATTTCGAAAAAAAGGCACAAAAAAGTTGCTGCATTATGTAAGAAAAATATGCTAAGCATAAAATTCTTCTCTCAACAACAACAAACAATGATCATACAAGGTTGTGAAGGAACTTGAGAAGTACGATGGCAGATTGGAAAGAGGAATTAAAAGGCAGATCGACTCCTATTGATTCAAGAAGGGGCCGGGACAAATCAAAAGGCATATGAAGGTGCATGGTCTAGCTTGATCATCTGATGTTTTTATGTGACAGTTATTATTTTTCTGGTGTTTAGAAACAGGTTAGGGGAATGTTGTGCTATTTTTACATATTACAATTAGATAAAGGTGAGATATGCTCAAGGCCTCAAGCTAAATCATTTGTACACATTTACTTACAAAAAAAATTATCTGCATCCTACTTCTGTGCTCACAACACTGTCACTTTAGTCCAAGAAAAAAGTGAAACAGAGAAGTCTTACACAGTCACACAGGTGCACAATGATTCCTCAGAGTCCGTCTTTAACGTGTTCATTTTGTTACTTGATGAAGAAATCAACTTAAAATAATCATCCAGACACACCCAGGATCTAGTTTAATGTAATCTGGAAAAGTATGATCATGTCACTAAATAAAAAACTGAGTCTTATCTATTGTAAGCTTAAGCCTTAACTTCCTCCAGGAAGTGGTGATAAAATCAAACAAAAGAGGAGGTACATATTAAGGATATCATTGATACTGCAAAGCACCTTAATAAACATAAACTTAGTAAAAATACTGAAATGCCGTCATATGGAGTAGGCTATGCTCAAAGTTGAGCAGATTGGCAAGGGAGAAATTATTGCATTGTTTTCCTCAAAGCTAGACCATAATAAGCTCAAAAACACAAACATCATGGTGGCAAGGATGAAAGTAGGGCATTTGCATGAGGAACAAAGTTTTAATGTAAGTATAATCATCTCAAGTCAAAATACATCTACACATGCTCAATTGTTTACAAGTCAAAAATAAGATGTTCAAAAGTAGACGTCATTCAGTTCATGAAGTGTTGGGCTGAGAAAGAGATAGGAGAAAAAAGGCGCTAAAAGAAGGATGAGAAAGTGATATTCTGGTTTAGGAGGTCAAGGTAATAAAGATCTAGGAGGTGAGGGCATCAAAATGGTAGGAGTTCTGGAAGAGAAGAAGGAATAGCAGGGCAGGCTGTAGTGCAAAAGGATTTTAGTGATTTCAGGCGATATAGAACTTATGAGCTCATTGCAGTACAATTATTTATGGTAATTTGTTAATTCTAGTCTGATTTTACTTCTCAGTATTCATTGGTTTGCCTTATTACAAAGTCTTTTCGGACTTATGTACTCTATAACATGCAAATGGTTTCAAGTAGCAGGATGTTCCTTAGGAAAGAAAATGTGTTGTGCATGTGAAACTTGGGAGCAACCAAACATGAGTAAATTAAGTGACTTTCTAATAATGCGCTTAAAGGACCAATAACCATGCTATGCATTAGTAATCCTTATAGATTTATAATAGTAGTGATCAGTCATCAGTGACTTCTACGAGTTCTAACACACACAATTCAATAGAGTATCCATAAATACAATGCTCATGGTTTGTCCTTGAAGCTAGACCATACGCGTAGACACAGTCAAGGGAACAATGTGGTCAACAGTGCGAAATATGTGGACATTGAAGATGGGAGGTCTAACATCATCTGAAATTCCTTTCTGAATCAGCTCAAATACACAAGTATCGTACTCCTCCAAGTTGTTTTCCAGCAAAAATACCGGCCACTTTGATCTAAGTTGGCATTGTATAGATCCTCCTTTTGTCCATCTGCATCCGACTTTCCAACTTCCCTTTGTAGAGCCTGGGACACGCAGCTCCAACTCGTGAGACTCTTTGATCATATGCTTATTTGCCCATACCTTTGGGATTGTCTGCAAACAAACAAAAAAATCCACCCAAATTCATATTGAAACAGACAAGAAATTGTACAAATTTTGCACATAGTATAAAAGAAGACAAACCAGATAAAATCCCCTGTAAACATGTGTAGGCAGCATGGTTATCTGAAACGTAGGTAACACTCTCTTATTATCCTTCATGTTGTGCCTATAACTCTCAGCCATCTTGGAAGCTCTTTGCTTTTCTCCAGGTTTAAGATCCCGCCTATTCGATATGAAGTACTTTTGGCTTTGAGGAAGTTTACCTGCACCATGGTCATCAAGTTATAATACAGTAACACATATATGAATTCATATACAAAACTCGAATGAGAAATGACTAGTTTGTATTACCTTCACTTGAGCTTCCTCTTCTCTCCCTCTTTTCTTCCGTTACATGGCTTACATCCTCAGACTCTTCTTCGCCTTCCTCCCACAAAGATTTATCCTCTGATGATGAGTCAAAAATCTCAATTTCTTCTTTAACCACACTACCATGGTTGTTGATGTGGAGAGTACTTGTACAAGAAGTTCTTCTTGACCTTGAATTGGAATTAATGGAAAAGTGACACCCCTCTTTCTCGCAACCACTCTTGTCGAACACTGACACCTCAAACGAGGAGTCTCCAACAAAACGGAACACTAAGAAGTCATTTGTTTCCACTCCGTTGTCACGAACAAACTGTTTCCACCCATCTGAAAACACCATTTGCCTTTCATTATATGTACTCGAGAGTCTGATTTTCCATTTCTGTTTACTTGGCCCTATAATTGTACACCAGGGGGAGAGTTTCTCCTTGAAACACTCCATGAACTTCTGAGGAATATTCTGCAAGAAATGTTCACCGAGAAATACAATTAAGTGAGCTAATATTTATAATATAAGTATGTACAGTTACTTTCATAAAAAAATTTCCTACCATTTGGAGCTCAAAATCGCCATACATGACCTTGAAGAATTGGTGTTTTGTTGCAGGAAGTTCAGACCAATAATTATAATTCTCCGCAATTTTACAGCCTTCGCATTTCTTCCCCATAACTGCAGTGATAAACATAAAATTAACAATGCCTATATGGTGACACTGAACATAGAAATTTAGGCCTTAATCTATGTTTCCATACTATATGTCAGAATTTAACTCAAAACTCTTAAAGGATTGGTGCTAAATCGTAGGGAACTTTAACCAATATTCATCAATTTGCTATTTCACAACTATTGCTTTTTTCTGTTATGTAACAAGGCTTGTATAATGACTAATAACATAGAATTTATGCAAGTGAATGCACAAAATCAACTATTCAATTTGAAGCCATGCCAAAGGTCAATGCAAAATACTAGATAAACACTAGACTACTAGATATTAACAATCTAATAGATAATTTTGTGATCTTTTGATTTTATTTTACTTCAGTCATACAGTAAATATTTATGCAATATAAATTAGGCTCAAACTCAGGTTTCCATATTCTTTTCGGGTTTTGATGACTGTCAGCTGATTGTAACATCCTAATGGGGGGTCTGCGACCTGATGTCTCCACAGTCCACACCCTTCACCAGAATCTCATGATCACCGGGCCTAGTCCCCGGCACCAGTTCAGGCACACAACTTGAGCCAACATACAGCTTGCTCCTCTGTCTTAAGAGTGAAGTCTCAGCAAATCAGTAATCCTAGGCCTTCTTTTTTTCATTATTTTGCGTTAATTTATTGAAAGTTTCAATTGTACTCTATGTTAAAACAAACACACACACACACACACACACACACACACAAAAAAAAAACATATTTTTGGTTACAATTGAGCCAATTAATCCAAATTGCACTAGTTCCATTACAAGTCAGAAATGATGATGCAATTTACCTATAAATGCTGAATGAAAAAAGCTTAAAACTATATATCAACAATACCTCTTACAAATAAAAACAATAGTACGTACAAATAAAATACCTTTTATCCTCTGAGTGCAAGGACAACACAATGTTAAACAGCCCCTGATCACTGGTGACTGATGGCGGAACTGCACTATGAATGTCAGGAAAATCAAGAGCTGTATTTTGAAAGGAGAACAGAGGCAAAAGAATACAGTTGAAGATGGTTGTTGAAAAGAGTAAAGGGTGTGACAAATAAGGGTCTCTATTGACGTATTTGTGGAATTTTATTGAGCCATAAAACACCAAAGTTGTGTGCAATGGTCCAACATCAAATTATATGATAATGTATATCACATGACCAAGCGAATAGGGGCAGACATGATGACTGCAAACATTCCTCATTTTTTATAGTTCATGTTCATATTGAATCATGTAAATTAATATGACTTGCCATGGGAGATTTGGGAACATCGATCCTAAATGAACTTGTTCTATCTAAGCAGCTTCAAACTTCTTTAATGCCATTTTGGCTTATTTATCTTCATGTTGAGTGATTTATGTTCAATCAACTTGCTTTTGGTGCTTTTGAGTTATTTACAATTTGACTTTCGGTGGTTTTGGCAGATTATAGGTGAATTTGGATGTGCTTTTGGTGGCTTTGACAAATTATAGGTAAACTTATTCTATTAAGAAACTTCTAAATAATTTGAGTCATTTTGGTTTAAAGGCTCTTATTCTAAATAATTTGAGGTCATTTTGGTTTATAGGTAAACTTATTCTATTAAGAAACTTCTAAATAATTTGAGGTCATTTTTGTAAGTCATCTACATTCTATTTACTTTTATTTGATGGTTTTGGAAGTTTAAAGGAGAGCTTATTAAATTTAAGTAATTTCTACCTCATCATTTGACTTCATATTGGCTTATTTATGTTTATGTTAAGTAATCCACTAGTTAATGGTGCTTTTGGCAATTGGTATGAAAACCTGTTCTATTTAAGAAACTTCTTGCATAACTGAGATTTTGAGGTGATTTTGGCTTATTCATAGGCATATATTCTCCATTTTAAACAACTTCTTGCAAATCTGAGGTAATTTTGGCTTGTTTAAGCTCTTTTTGAGTTATTTACAATCGATTTGACTACGTGAGCTTGTTCATTTTAAGTAAAGTCTAACTTATTTGAGATCAATTTGGTTTTAGAAAATCAATGTGGACTTATTTAAGTCATTTAAGTAAAGTCATTTAAGTTCAATCTTGACCCCCTTTTTTTTTTTTTTTTTTTTTTTGTGGTTTTAGAAAATCAATGTGGACTTATTTCACCTACGTTTATTCCATCTAATTTGAGGTCAAATTTGTATATTCTTTACGTTTTCTAATGTTCTTCCCACTTCTTATAAAAACACTTACCGACTACAGAGAGTAAAAGAATGTAAAAGTGGATCCATAGTTCATTACATTTTCACATCATTTATTATTTCATTAACTCAAGCCAACCACGGACATTTATAACAACAACTAGTGATCATATATGATTCCAAACGACATTATATAACCCCGAGATATATTCCAAAGAATCTCAAGGCTTTTCGATATCGGGCCCTGAAACCTCAAAAATTTCTCAAAAAGCGTGGATAATTTGATTACGCAGTAGTTCTTTACTTAACTATTATTACTCTATTGATTTCCACAAAATCTTTCGAATTGCGAATTGTATTTCTAGTTAGCAACTTCTATTTTAGCAACTTTTCTATTTTTCTTGAAGAAGGGAAAAAATGGAAAAGTTGCTTGAATTAAATACCAAAAGGGGGTTCATGGCTAAGGGTAAAGATGTCCGAGTAAAGGTTATTTTGGAATGTACTAGTTGTGTTCGAAAGAGTGTTAATAAGGGATCAAGGGGCGTTTCCAGATATATTACCCAAAAGAATCGCCACAATACGCCTAGTCGGTTGGAATTGCGAAAATTCTGTCCCTATTGTTCCAAACATACAATTCATGGAGAGATAAAGAAATAGATCAAACTGAACGTCTCTTTTCCTTTTTTCTTTCATTTGTTATTTTTGTATTTGTATATAATGCGACTTTTTTGCTTTTTTATCATTGATAGGAATTTCTCTTGTTAAGACCCTATGAATCGATTGAACCCCAGATTCATACTAGAACCACGATGATTCAATAAAACCCTAAAGCTAAGCACAAAGATTCCTTGAGTAAGAACCATTGGATCATCACTTATTAAATCAATAGGATAGGTATTATTTTATAATTATAACTAATAATACAAAAAAATTTGTCTGTTGGTTAAACAAAAAAGGCATCAAAAGGAGTTTGAACGAAAAAAGATTTCGATTTATACCTTCTTATTCTTTCTTTGAAAAGAAAATTTTTCTGAATCCGATCTCGAGGTCTGAATATTAAATATGAATCATAGTTCAAATATTGTTTGATCTATTTTAGCTATTCCGTGTTTCAGATACCAAAAAAAATATCCAACGAGGTATAACCATCTCTATCAGGATAAGATGACAGACTCATTTTCTGTATTATCAATAGGATCCATTCTAACAAGTCACACACTCATATTCCGGAAATACAGAAAGAAATTCCGCGATCGAACTACCAAAAGGGGATAAAAATCGGAGTCTTAAAAACGCACTTTGTATTGTTTGTATTGAAAGGCTAGAACTTTCCGGTTCTTTTGTCTTTCATTTTTTTGTTTTTGTGGATTTAATTCATTGAAATTCCATCCAGTAAAACGGAAGAATTATAAATTTCCAAAATAATAGAAAGGAATACTGCAAATAAAGCCATCGCAACTCCCATCAAAGGAGTAGTTCCCCACCCAGGAGCTACTTTACCATATTCCGAATTCAAGGGTTTCAACAGAACCCCTACGGTAGTAGGTTTTGGACGAGATCTAGAACTACTCTCAACGGTTTGTGTAGCCATAAATTCGATTATATTCATTGAGATCTGTTGACTTTGTATACCATTCCGTTGTAAATAAATGATTTTATCATAGATCCATTGTGGTCTTAAAATTATATAATAATGGAAACAGCAACCCTAGTCGCCATCTTTATATCTGGTTTACTTGTAAGTTTTACCGGGTATGCCTTATATACCGCTTTTGGGCAACCCTCTCAACAACTAAGAGATCCTTTCGAGGAACACGGAGATTAGTCGAAGTAATGAGCCTTCCAATATTGGAAGGCTCATTACTTCAATTGAAATGATGAAAAATCATTTCATTTTTTAGTTGAAATTTTAGGAGGTTCCCGAAAAAAAATAGAGAAAAAAATTATCCCTAGAGTAGAGACTAATAGAAATGTATAAACCAATGCTTCCATAGATTCGATTGTGGTTTACAATTATAGCTTCCATACCTGTTTACTTGAGATTATTTTCCCAATAATGATAACAAAACGGTGGTAATTCAAATCAAGATTGCTCTAGTATCCTCTGTCAAATAAAAAAAAATAGAAGCAAAAAAGCAATGTTGTATTAAACTCCTTGTCTTCTTGTAGTTGGGTCTCCAATTTTTTAGAATGCGCCAAATTCTACTTGAACATCCAAATCGGGGTCAATCCCAGCAAAAACATCTCTGAATAAGGTTCTAGACCCGTGCCAAATGTGTCCGAAGAAAAAGAGTAGGGCAAAGGAAGCATGGCCAAAAGTAAACCAACCTCTTGGACTACTGCGAAAAACACCATCTGATTTCAAAGTAGCACGGTCTAATTCGAAAATTTCACCCAATTGAGCACGCCTAGCATATTTTTTCACAGTAGCAGGATCGCTATAACTGACTCCGTTTAGTTCGCCGCCGTAAAACTCAACAGTTACACCTACTTGTTCAACGCTATACTTAGATTCTGCTCTTCTAAAAGGAACATCAGCTCTAACAATTCCGTCCCCGTCTATTAAAACGACCGAGAAGGTTTCAAAAAAAGTAGGCATACGTCGTACAAAGAGTT